TAATTCCTTTTTCCTTTTTTTTTCATTTCTCTATATATAGCTAGCATAAAATAAAATCCTACCTTATCAAAATTTTAAAATTTTAGTTCCATTTGTTTGAAAAAATAAAATAAACCTAACATACACACACACACACACAAATTTTCCATAAAGATGGATGAATACAATATATATATATATATCAATTTTACATCCTTTTTTTTAAACTGAAGTGTTGCATTCAATAGACGGCAAAGAAACCACTACAAAGTTAAAAATCAAGAGGGCACAGCCCAAATCAGGGTGTAAGTCATACCATAGTCATATGAATAAAATCCTACAACCATGATATGATGAGGAAAAAAAGCCATAAATAAATACAATTTACTTAACAACACAGAATCAGAGTTGTAATAGCTCGTAGTTAAATACACACTAAGATCTTTATCAAACGGTTGACTACTTACAAATGTTAATTACACAAATTAATAACAAAAGCCTAGTAGCTTGGTTGAAACCCATTCCCTCAAATTTTGCCTTGAATCCTACACAATCTATTAGAGTATGAGCATTCTAATGCCCAGTAGAGTACTGTCAAACCCCTCAAGGTCAACTATCACAGTTAATCAAAGTGTCATGTATCAAATAACACAAGATACAGAAATTTTGCAACCATACAAGATAAATAAATTTGCATATGTAGTGATGTCATGAACTCACTCCCTTCTAATCCACTAATTCATATCTTAGGTCAACAATCCTGCATGTCACATACTATGCATTTTACCACTGTAGCTCCGAATACCCTAAAATATGAATTAGCGCACGTCCGTCCCTTAACCCAGTTTTCTTTTGTTTACAAATTTCTCAACTTTCACTTTTCATTAGAGACCATGCTCCTATCACCTCGAATTTCTCAACTTTCACTTTTCATTAAAGGCCCTGCTCCCATCACCTCATTATATTCAAGCCCTGCTCCTGTCACTTGAATATATTTTACTTTTTTTTTTTCTCAAATATACCTCAAACGACACACACACACACACACACACGCCTCAAACACCATTGTCTTTATGATGCATATGTAATGCAAAGCAAACATAATTCATCTATGCGGAATAATAATACAAATAATAACAATAATATTTCAAGCTTCATCACATGAATAATAATATTCACCCAACATCAAAAATAATATCCACGGAGAAACATCGATAATTATATTCACATAACATCAAATAATATTCATCAAGCAAAGCAACAATAATATTCATATTTATAGTATTATATATAAGCACCAAGATTAAAAATGATATAGCCCAATCATTGGAAATCAGGAAACCCTACCTCATGTCCAGCTAGCTAAAGTACCAAATTTACCCTTCGAAGATTCTCGGAGTTGTCAAATCTACCCTCCTGATCCAATTCCTTAACAAATTCAAATCCAAATTATTATTGAGGAGTGTTCATTTTATTTCACCTAAGTCCAACCTCAACCCTTAGCATTCCTAAGATTTTGCGTAAAAATGACAAAAATGCCCCTAGGACCAACCCAGGGTCCAAAGCGGCCAAATCTCGTCCAAAATAGTCTAAAACTCAGTCATATGCCCTATCAACACCGAAACAAGGTAACTACACCCGTTATTCAAAAGTTATTATTTGGGTCTCGTGGGCCCCACAACCATCAATACTTTACACCACCTCGGATTGACTCAAAACATATATCATCGGACTCGGATCAAGAAATTGAGTCGAATTGACTAAAAATATGGCGTCGGAGGCTGCCGGAACAGACACCACGCGCCAGAGCCGCTAGTGGGCTTGTGTTCTGGTTACTGTTCATCGTTTTCCCCAAAAATCCCGCAACTTCCCCTGTTTTTCAGTTTAAAAACTCAGACTTTGTGACACATTTTGACCAACCTAAAGTTAACGAAACCGGGAAAACTTGTAGTGGATTTGAATCTTATTCTCTCTAGTTTCTAACCCAACAAATCACTCTCAAAACGGAGCTAAAACGAAGGAGAAAACGAGCTCCGAAGTTGGGCTCGCGACTATTTTTTCTGCAGAAAACAGATTTTTGTCCAAACTTTGCACCTGTGTTTGACCCATCAAAACTCAACCAAATCAACGAAATCAATTTTTTTTGGTTTCTTGCCAAGTCTAGTTTAAAACCCAATAAATGGATTCCTTAAAAACGCAAAAGGGTTGGGAGAAAAAGAGAGCCAAAGTGAGGCTCACGGACTGCAATTTTCCAGAAATATGCAAATTTCCAATTTGGTTCTAAGCCATTTTCAACCATTTTATCACTTCCAAGTTGTTACTAAGGCTTCTAAAACACTTCTAAACTTCATACCTATCAGTAAAACTCATCAAAAACTCAAAATGGAACCAAAATCAACAACACTCATACTTGAAAAATTACTCTATGCACCCAACTCGAAAATAAAGGTTCAAACTCTTCCAAATCAATTTTCTCATCTCTCAAATGACTCAAAATACTCTTTTAGAAACTAGAAACACACAAACACCAAGTTAAAACCAAAAACTAGAAATTTGACTCACCTTTTTCTCATTGTTCTCTCTCTCTCTCTCTCTCTCTCTCTCTCTCTCTCTCTCTCTCTCTCTCCTCTCTCTCTCTCTCTCTCTCTCTCTCTCTCATTATCTTCTTCTTCCTACCACAACTCACCTCCCCTAGTTCTTAGCTTAAGTAATTACTATCCCTACCCTAGACTAGATGACTCACCTCCCATGGATTAACAACTCATCCCCCAAAATAAGTTTTTTTTTTTAAGAGAAAGAGGGAAGGGGGGAAGAATGAAGAGAGAACAAAAGCTTGGCTTACACGTTGGCTTCTTTTTTTTTTTTTTTTTTTTTTCAAGGATATTTTGGTAATATATTCACACCTAAGGGTATTTTGGTCATGTTTGTCAAACTTCAAATTAAACACACTTAATTTAATAATCTCAATCCAAAAATCACTTGATAAAATACCCATAATCATTCTCTACAAAATATTATTTTTCACTAAAATATGAAAATCCACCTTGAATTTTTCAGGGTATTACACAGCCACAAAGGGAAACATCATGGTGCTCAAGGTTAAAAACCAACCAAATTTAACAGGAGCCAAAAGAAAAACATTGCTAGTGTTAAAGATAAAACAGCTAAAAGAGTTACATTAGCAGGGACATAGGCAGAGCCTAACATGCGTCCATTCCTTCCAACTGGAAATATGGAGCTAAATACTTAGAGGGCAAGGGATATCATCTTTGTTCAAAACAAGGGTTAGAAAAGATGGGGGTCTAAATGACCCACACTTCCGTACACATCATTTCCTTTGCTAGCATTGCCAAAAGATTGGCCACTTCATTCACTGAACGAGGAATCCAAGCCCCTTTGCCAAAAGTTGCTCCTTGAACTTGCACACGATGGGATACAATGTCCAAGCCCCTTTGGCAATATTACCATTTAAGCATTGAGTCATAGACCTTGAATCCGATTCTAGAATTACATTTCTTTTCCCCCTCTCTTGACCAAACATGCTTCCCCATATAAGTGCCTAAGCCTCGGCTTCCAAAGCAAAACTTGTGGTGATTTGAACTTTCTCTGCGGCAATAAACTTGCATTAGGAGTCTCAAATTATAATTCTAAGTCCAACCTTGCCGTTTCTCGGGTTCCACTCAGCATCCATGTTTACTTTGACAGTATTTCCGGATAAGGACAACCAGACAGAAAGAGTAGTTTGATTGTTGTTCAAACTCATAATGTTGTTGCTGGTATGGGTAGTTTGGACAAGAAGGAAACTAGTTACACCAGTTAAGGTAGCATAAATTGTAAGGTGGGTCACAACACAGATTGCTTTCACCTGGTGGAACATATGGAAAACTAGGGGTGGTTGCGGTTCGGTAACCGCGAATTTTTACTCAAATCGCAAACCGACCGACTATTTGCGGTTTGGTGATTTTTGAAACCGCAAACCGACCGCGTTTTGCGGTTTAAAACCGCAAGTTCTCAAGCATTCACAAAAATATAAATTCACAACCTAAATAAATAAATACACAACCTCAATTTCTCAAGCATATATAAATTCACAATCTCCTCAACTTCTCAAGCATTCACAACCTAAGAAAATTAAAGTTACAATTCCAAGCATTCCAATTAAAGTTAAATTTCTCAAGCATTCCAATTCCAAATCCTTTAAAGTTACAAACCAAAAGGAAAATGCAAAGCAAAATGAATTAAAGTTACAACCAAAAAGAAAAATCCAATTCAAAGTTAATTAAAGTTACAAACTAAAAGGAAAATGCAATGCACCAATGTTACAAACTAAAGTTACAAACTCAAGTGTTGGTGGTGAGTGGATTTGAATAACCCCGTTGTGTTGTTTGAGCATCAATGTTATCTACAAATAAAACAACATAGTTTAGTACATTTTATTATAAGAAGAAGCATAAATAACATTAGCATAAATAAACTAATTACTTACAAGTTGTCATATGTTCCATTTCCTTGTATAATTCAACTTTATCATCCGTACGGCTATACTTTGCGGTTTACGGTAACCGCAAGTTTTGAAAATCAAATACCGCAACCGCAAATGCGGTTCGGTTCTTAATACCGCAAATGCGGTTCGGTTTATCGTGATTGCGGTTTCATTGCGGTAAATTATCGGTTGATTTTTGCGGTTTTTTCGGTTTAAAATGCCACCCCTATGGAAAACCGATGTTATGCTGTATTTGAGCATCAAATTTACATCTTTTACCCTAAAAAGTAAAGTGAAAAGTAACAGGGGTGAAATTGGCAATAAGAAATACTTATGTAGGGAATTTAAGCAATAATTTCAAAAACAGGACATTTTTACAAAAATTATCCAATCCAGGGACATAGCCGAGAATTTCCCAAAAAGAAGTAGCCACTACAAGTGAAAAAGACGCGACCTTTCATCCCCAATTTCGCTCTTGAATCTTGATCATTTGCAAAACCCTTGAAATAAATCTCTCTGAATCCCAAACCAAGAAGCCATGGCAGGCCAAACTGTGAAGCTCTTCACAGTGCTCAAGAGATCTGCGAGCATAATGCGGTCCCCCACGTCCCACTTCTTACACCTCTCCGCCCTGCTTCTCCCCCTGGGTGTCCTCTTGTCCACCGTCATCTACCCTTCTCTGCTTGATTCCGTCACCGACCCATTCTCTCCCGGCGACCGGGCTCCTACTTCTGCACCTCAACCAAGCCAACCGACCATCGCCTCCACACTCATTCATATCTTTACACCTATCGCCTTCACGGTCTTCGCCTTGATCTCCTCTGTCTGCGCAGTCGGGTCGATCACCCACAGCATATTTCATGGGTTCCACGGCCAACCCGTGAAGCTAAGGTCGGCGATCGAAGCGGGTTTCGGGTCTTTTTTATTTCTGCTGGCTACGGCTGTGATTTTGCAGCTGGTTGTGAAATGGTTTGGGATACTGCTGTTTATGGGGGGTCGAGTGGTCGAGCTGCAGAGCGGGCGGAGGATGGAGGACTGGTCGCCTGAGTTGACTTTCGCCTTCTACGGGGTGGCTGCAACGGCTGTGTTGCCGGTGGCTCTGTACGTGCAAGTGATGTTGAGCATGGCCCCCGTGGTGGTTGTGGCGGAAGCGTGTTGGGGTTTGACTGCCTTGAGCCGAAGCTGGCGTTTGGTGGAGGGAACGAAACTCAGAGGGGTTGTGCTCTCGTTGATGCTGATTTGTGGGTTTTGCAGTGGGGCTTTGGGGATTTTGGGTTGGAGATTGGAAAGGACGTGGGTGGCGCTAACCAGTGGGTGGCAGAATGGGGCGCTGTGTCTGCTACATGGCATTGCCCTCATCAGTATTTTGCAGATGATGGTCATCTTTTTCTATACAGTGGCAATCACTGTATTGTATTGCGAGGCCAAGGAAGACGACGGTGGTGAGGAGGTTGATCTTGGTGATGACTGTTGCAAGTTTCCCTGATGTCGTTTTTGTCTAGGGTTTAGGTAGGATGACTTTAACAAATTAAGAGGCTACCTATGGTTTGGGTCTGTGCTTCATCTCATCTGTTGTTGTATCTGTTTTTAGTGGAATTCCATTCCATTGTTTTGTTTCAAATGATATGAAGACCCTACAACGTATTACCAACAACAAGGCTGCAATTTCTTTCCCCAGCAATATTGCACTATAAAGAAACAACACTTTCAATCGATTAGGATAAGCATTGGGCAGAAACTTTATTTTATGGACACACATTAGCAGAAAAAAAGAATGAATCCCATTCATTCTAAACAAGAAACAAGGGAAAACAATGGGAAGAGTTATATTAATAATCAAGGGGAAAAAAGAAGCTCCTAATTCTAGTGAAGAACGCAGAAAGATTTTTCAAGCCTCAGTTGAAGTCCTTCAATCTTTTCTTAAGCATATCCAGTGATTTCTTACGACCACTTTGCTTGTTATTCCTATTTGAAAGGCTCCCAAAAATCCCATCAGTAGAATCCTTGAACTTCTCGCAGATACTAGACACCTTTTTGTAGTCCAAAGCGTTGTAGTTTTTCTCCCTTATCACAGGATTCATGAAGCTCTCTGGCTGACTGCTCGACAAAAGGTTTATCAATTGTCGTGCTTCTATCAAGCAACCTCTAAAACTACCTCCTTTGTAAATTTCGCTCAAGCCAGTACTGTGAAACTTCTCGTCCGCAAAAGACTCCAGCATCTTCAAATCATTGTTGATACCCATAACTGCATTGGCATTGAACCTCTTGACGCTATCACTAAGAAAAGCCGACACTATAGAGTTAGAAATGTGATCAAGAGCCCCATTCCCAACCTTGTACAAAGCATCCAAAGGTAAAATTTGTTGTGCTGTCGACAGAAGAGTATCGAGGTAAATAACAACTTCATTTATATAATCATTCCCATTCTGAGGTGGTTCCTCTAAAGTCCAACTGATATTTTCGGTAAGTGCCATGAACTGATCCAACTTCTTGTTCATCAAATTCAACAATGCATGATAAGCTTCATCCCTTGAAGTCTTTAGAACCACCTTAGCAGTTAAGCAAGCTTGAGGCCTCTCAACTGACCGGATTGGGATCCCACATAGTTGGGCTGCATGACGAAGGAAAAAGTCACAAGCTCTTTCAAGTGCGGATATGTTTGCAGCAATCTGCATGGCTTGGGAGACACCAATGTTGCCATTTTGAATTGTATTAAGTATCACCTCATTTAACACATCTATCAACAGTTTGTCCAAATACTTCCTCACAACATCATAAAAATTAGTATGTGCCCCATGAGACAAGTAATCAACACACCCTTTGATGAATGATCTGACAATTCGGCAGGCATCAGGTACTGTGGAGGAGAATGGTGCAATGTACGGAAATGCTGGTGTTATATCTGATGTCTGGAGATTGAATGACAGGACAACACTTTCGTAGTCAGTGTCCTTTTTCAAGACCATCTGTTCATAGGTATCACTGGCAATAACATTTGCAATTTGTTGACGGCACTCTTCCAAAAGAAGTTCGTGGTATTTGTCTCTGCTCTTGTCAAGCGTCTCAAGAAGTGGTCCCACTTCATACCCATATTGTCTAAGAGTAGAGCCAAGAAGAGCCACATAATCCTTCACCAAGAGAAGATGGGTCGCAGAATTCATATGGGAGAATTGTTCCTCTAACACAGATTTCATTTTTGCTATAGCTGTATCCCACATTTTTTCAACTTGCTCAGCTAACAGTAGGCCCCCGGCTGTCCTCAAAACTCGATCCTCCACTATGAAGTATCCTGCAATTTGAGCCAAAAATATTTGATGGGATTCAACAAAAGGCTGTGCTGAAGAGATCTGCAAGTCTGAATTAAGCTGCAACAATCGATTTCTATAGTAATATTCCCAAAACTGCTCTTGGATTCCTAGGCAACTTTGGATGTGATATGCCCTGTATAGAGGAGTTAGGTCAACCTTCAAAATAGATTCTTCATCAATTTCTTCAACATCTAAAGTATATGCAAAATCTCCCAACCCTGAAATATTCTGCTCCTCAGCTTTCCTTTGGAGCTCGAGCATTTCCTCATCCCTCTGACGTGCAGATGCAGCATGACCAATTGCCGTTTGTCCAATATCCTTTGCAGAACTCCTTATGTGAACCAGCCATTCATTGAATTGACTAGTCACTTTCTTCTCAATGTGCAATTTAATTATTGGAATTCTCTTCTCTACAATCATTCTAACTGCCCTGACAGGAATATTCTGCAAGTAATTTTTCTCAATTAAATCCAAAGTTTTCAATGCCGGGTAAAACTGGCCCTCAGATATGTGTTTATTAAACTTGACACAGAGCTCCAACACTTGTACACAGTTCTTGGACATTTTGATAGCTTCAGTCACATTCTTTTTTATTGAATAAGATTCAAGAAGCTCCTCAAGTTTAATCAATAAAGCACTCCCAACCTCTTGCAACTTGAAATTATCACTAGAGAGCTCGCCTTTTAGCTCTTCGGCATCAACCAACACACCACGAAGCTCGTCAACTGCAAGAATGAATTCCTCATAATGAGTCTTGCAGAGCTCCTCAATTTCGACTTCCTTCTTTTTCACAACATGCTTGAGCTGGTGAAGGAGTGATTCTGGCCTCCCCATCTCAAATGCATGCCGGACAATAGGACCGAGGTCATCTCCATTCCTAATCAATGTAGCAAGGACCAAGTCCTCGCCAGTATCCCCATTCTCTGTAGCAACTCTTCTCTTCGCTTTTGACTCCATTATTTCTGAAAAAAACACCTTGAAATCAAATCATACAAGAAGAATAAAATGAAACAAATATAATAAGCTGAGCAGAAGACAAAAGAAAAGCTAAATCTTACTCATCCTAATCAAGAAAAGAAAACAAAAACATGATATTCTGGGGAAAAAGTTCTCATAACCCCCAACCAAATTAGTATCTTAAGCAACATATATACCAGATTAAAGGGATTAGAATGCTCCTAATCAGAAAATATCTAAATGAGTTTCCCAAGGATGACAATATTTGCCTACAGCCAAATCAACCTTACTTAAGTTACCCATTCACTAGCCCAGCAAAATAATCAGCATCTCTTCTTCTTCAATTTCAGACTCTCTCTCTCTCTCTCTCTCTCTCTCTCTCTCTCTCTCTCTCTCTCTCTATATAAAGTGTTTTCTTCTCTCAGTTTTCGGGTAGTCTGGTGTGTAATGGAAGAATTGGGGATTTGGGTTTCTAAACGTAGTAACAAAACGTCTTTGTTACCTTACTCTGACTTTTCTTTTTCCCCTCAAAATAACAAGAGGCGAAATCCACATGAGGACAACAGAAAACGAATAAAAATGGAAACTTTTTCCTAATATGTTGAAGAAGATTCTACGACCACTCTAATAATTGATATTACTTCACTCCTTCCCCGCCTAAAAAGTTGGAAAAAATTAAAAACATCAGTACGATAGCGGGATCAAGAACAACCCAGAAAAGAAGAAGAAGAAGAGTTCGATCAAAATGGAAATCTGGGCGTATCTGAAAATAGATTCATATCAAATAAGTCTATCGGTCACAAAAATCACTGAGAAACATAACATATAAGCAAATTTCACTCTTAGCTGAAACCACACAGCACACGAATATGGTGTCCACCCAAATGTGTTACCAGGCAATTCAAAAATGGAAGGACAAACATAAAAGCAAAAACCCAGATACATTTTCAACAAAATGTGAAAGCTTTGATTGCGAAAAAGACTCACTTACAGAGAGAAGCTTTTATTTTCTTCCTCTTTTCTGTCCTGTTTGAGGCTCCAAATCTAACGAGGAAAATGCAAATATACCAACAGAATTATATCGAAGAGCCTTCGCTTTTCTTTTCCTTCCCTCTTTATTCTCTGTCTTTATTTCTTGTATTTTCCATTTCCAAATGGATTCTGCTTTCCTGCACACAATCTTTCGAGCTGGGTATTTGCCATTTCCCAAAACATAGTTTTTACATCCTTCGCGATGCTACCTATGTGAGGTAGGGCTCCGGTGTCTTTCCTCCATGGCACTTCTCGTGCACTCGGCATCTTATTGGAAATTAAAAGAGAAGGTAGGCCCGCCCTTCTGTAGGCCCCATTTGCACAATCTCTGAAATCTGAATTCTCCACCGGATTGAAATGTTTACTTTACCCTTACATACATAGTGAAAATTTCGGAAAGTTACAAGGACTACAATGCCATTTTACTTTACCCTTACTTGCCACCGGATTGAAATGTTTGCTTCTTTTAAGATAACTTTTTTCGGGGGAAAATTTAAGATGCAATTTGGAATCACAAGTGCTTCATTTTAAAATATATATACTTAAATAATAATCTATTTAATTGTAAATTTTACATGTCTTGTACAAATAATATTATACTTTAATCTAATCTAAATTACATAGAGGAGTTTCGAATTCATGTGCGTAGTAGGAGGCACATTTACTCTAACCAACTTGGTTAAACTTATGTATACTTAAATAATATTAAAAAATTGACTTATTTTTCTTTATATGATGATTTCTTTTTAAGAGAAATCAGAATTTATTAATAATCAAAGGAGAGTAAACTATTGGAAAAAAAAAGATCCTGAATCAAGTCAAATTGATGATTCCAAAGTTACATGTCAAGTTGAAATTTGGGGCTAGCTCATCTTCTATTGTTAATACATATCATACACGTATTGCCTTGTCTTCATAATACAAGTGACTAAATTTAAATCAGTGCAAGTGTCACACGCCGTTGAATAAAAAGAATGGTGTTACTTGGGATAACCGTCCATTTAAGCATGAGTAACGTCTAGTTATTACTATAATTAGAAGTCGTCTACAATAATAGTACGTGTGAACCCCATTAAATCAATGGTTGTGAATAGTTTACGATAGCCTCATACATACGTGAGCATGTGTTTAGGGTTTAGAGTCCCTTCTCTAAGTGAATGACTCAATAACTTTGTGATTGTGTTGGCATTACATACTACTTCCTAGTTGTAGTTTAGACTTTAGTTGATAATAATGGCCATAGGCTGACATTCAACACCACTAATTATTAGGGCAATGTGGTAGCCTCACACATACGTGAGCATGTGTTTAGGGTTTAGGGTCCCTTCTCTAAGTGAATGACTCAATAACTTTGTGATTGTGTTGCATTACATATTACTTCCTAGTTGTAGTTTAGACTTTAGTTGATAATATTGGTCATAGGCTAACATTCAACACCACTAATTATTAGGGCATTGTGGTTTACGACTTATTTTGTACGACACGCTAAGTTTAATATTATCTTAAACTCTACATACCCTATTTACAAAAAAATTTATAAACCTCAACTATGTGAATGAGTACGAGCTATTGATTAGTTTAGTGATATTTATATTCTTAATATCGGAAGAGATTCAAATTTTGAATCACCTCACTTGTATTGATAAATAAAAAATAAAATTGACTAGATAAAAAACAAAACAAAAAGAAAAGTCTAGATAAAATACAAAAGGATGTGACGTGCCTCATCACTAGGCACTAGCTACCAACCAAAAACCCTAAAGACTAATTATACAAATTAATAGCCTATTCAAATTACTCATTATCGTTTTTAATTAGATTTGAAATAGTGTTATTTGACAATCATCTCTTATTTATTATTACTCGAAGACCAGTTTACATTTGGAAAAATACCACCATGCATATCAAAATCACAATTGACTTGAGCACTCATTATCTCTCCACAATTAGCTCATCAGCAATCCCTTCCCCTGTCAAGGGAGGAAGATGATCACGATTTATTCTTAATTAATTTGCAATTAAGGAAACTCTTCTTAATTAACTCTCCTTCCTTGATTGGAGTAGCCGTTGGCTTATGATCCATATTATGACCACTGCACATGCCATGCACAATTCCAAGCTTACCACATCAACCTAACAACTATTATTATACGTTTATTACGAGAACCTATTTTAATTACTGTTGACATAATTAGACCACAAGATCAATTTTAAGTTACTATTTTGTGACGACAAATGAGCCGTTATACTGACTTTGTTTGAGACACGTAATCATATGCGAATAACACGTGTGTTTACTTACTATTAGATTCAAAAATCAACGCTTAATTGTTTGTTTATCAACAAACAAAAAACTAATACATAGAGGATTACAATCCCAACAAATCACGATTATCTTTAACAATTGATAATTAGACATTAAAAAAATTATATTTAATGGCTCAATGAATGAAGAGAAGCCACCTACCAGCACTACGCATGGTCTTGGAAAAAAGCCCGATAACAAAAGTGGGCCAATTGATAGAATATTCCTCTTATCTCGTTGAAATTCTCATGAGATTAGCTCAAACAAACAAACATCCTCTGCCACGTGGTGGGTTCGATGTTAATTCCAGAAACCATACTGGCGGTTACACGTGACATTTAAATATTAGGTTAGCTTAAGAATGTGAATCGAGGAGGGCGGGTAATGTGAATCTACTCTACTGCGGTCTCCAACGGCGGGCCCACTGCTGACTTGGTAGGATAAGCACCACAAGCAAACCCCCCCGCCTACATTTTTATCGTTATGTTATGCTTATCCATTTCTACGCTTTTCGGAAAGAACACGCGTCATCTTGCTAAATGGGAATGGATAGCTACCCTAGCCTACCTTGTAGACTCATTCTAGCTGCTGCTAATGCCAAATCCTCGACTGGCTATAACGTCCCTACTCTCTCCATCTATTTTTTATTTTTTCATTCAATTAACTCAATTTTCATTTCGGAATTATTGGGATTTTATGGGATGCCGACTAATGTTGAATAAATAAAACTACGTATTTTGTTGATTTTGTCTTGATACTTGAACTTTGGAAGGATGGTCAATCACGTATATATTTATAATTTTTTTTTAACACGTGTGTATTGTTGTTTTAGTTAGTATGTGTTAGAAAATTACCGGACCATATTAAATATATAGAATTATCATGTATACGTATCTACATACTTGACTTATTATTTATTATAATATTTTTAGAAAAATTGACTTACTATACATTTAACTTTTTGTGGTCACGAAGTGCAAATCTTTTGTTTATAATCAAATACTTGTAAATCTTTCACACCATTTTGATTTAATATAATTTTTTGTATACACTAGTATCCAATTAGATTGAAGTTGAAGGTAGACTACGGTCAAAATGTTATAAATTTTATCTTGGAATTTATTAATGTTGTTGAAGCTATTTCCTTTTTAGGATATTTTTTTTGGGTTGAATTCCTCTTTGGGTATATGTGGTGTGAAGGAGTGGACAAGTATATATTTATGCTGCGGATATTCTCATTGAATAATGCTATCCGGATAAAGTTTGTGACAAGTGCAAGGAATCTTGGACAAAAGCCAAATTATTGGCACTGGGAAGCATCAAAAGAGTTTTGGTTACTTGCGCGAGTATGCTTACCACTTCGCATACGAGGTAGCTAAAGTCAAAGTATTAACCAATCAAAACCATGTGACGTCCACAAAACGACGAAACCAATCAACAATAAATTGAGCAGCCATCTCCGTTCAAACATTTCAAACACTTGTATTTCCTTTCGAGCTATGGCCTAAAAACTAGAAGCAGCAAAACTATCCAAACATTGTTTTCATTCTCTGTCTTTGCTTTTGTCTTTGTTTCTTGTTTGTTTTTCTGTGAGCCCAAACATGGAGGCCAAACACAGCTCTGAGCTTCCTCCTGGTTTTAGATTCCACCCAACTGATGAGGAACTCATCATGTTTTACCTCAAAAACCAGGCCACCTCAAGGCCATGCCCTGTGTCCATAATCCCAGAAGTTGATCTTTACAAGTTTGATCCATGGCAGTTGCCTGGTTAGTGTTGTAATTAAGATGTTTAAACTTAATTACAAGTGTTGCTTAGCATGCATACGCATTAGTTTAATTATTCTTGATTGATTGCTAGACCTAAACCTAATGGTGTTTGTTTATGTTATGCAGAGAAAGCAGAGTTTGGAGAAAATGAATGGTATTTCTTTACCCCAAGGGACAGGAAGTACCCAAATGGAGTAAGGCCTAACAGAGCCACCGTCTCAGGTTACTGGAAAGCCACAGGCACAGACAAGGCAATTTACAGTGGGGCAAAGTATGTGGGGGTGAAGAAAGCTCTTGTGTTTTACCAGGGCAAGCCACCAAAGGGGGTTAAGTCTGATTGGATTATGCATGAATATCGTCTAAGTGACTCGAGAAAACAAGCCAACAAGCAACTTGGGTCCATGAGAGTAAGCCCTCTTTGTCATTGTTAATTTCTTGCCAGTTTGTGACATTACACTTCTTTCAGGCATTTCATCAAACAGTTTGGCTGCAAATTGACCAGTTGCGTTGTGTTTGTTGCATCTTAGTTGGATGATTGGGTCCTCTGCAGGATCTATAAGAAGAGGCATCTGGGCAAAGCTTATTTGGACCAAAAAGTGGAAGAAGAAGACCCAATTACTGAACCCAAAATTGAGATAACAGCAGCCAATAATCATGAGGAGCCAATGATGTTGAAATTTCCAAGGACTTGTTCCATTAGTAGTTTATTGGAAATGGACTACTTGGCCCCAATCTCCCAACTTTTGAGCGAGAATTCTAGCTATGACTTCCAAAACAACTTGGCCAGTGCAGGAAATGCTGGTCATGCCCAAATGTTTCAGTTTGGTGAAATGCCATACCAAAGCACAACAGACACAGCTAAATTCCAAGTGACTCAGAGTTGCCCTTCTAACCAACCATGGTTTGCCAATCCGGTGTATAACTTGAATGGTTTGGACCGCAATTAACGAATTCAAATTTGGTCTTAGGGTGGAAATTATGTGCTAAAACAAAATTGTAAATTGGGTTTGTGAGAGGAGTTGAATCTTAAACAAATTATGAAATGGATTTGAGCTGTTTTCAGTCGTATAATACATTTAAATTTACCCATATTCTCAAACCAGTCATTTATTTACATCAAAAGTACGACAAAAATCCTATTATTTACTCATTTACCGTTGCAATCGATCAATCGAGGAGTGATGAAATTTATTATGGTCAGATCCAATCTCCTAGTCATGACGAAAAGAAAAAATAATTTTAAAGACTTTGGCCTTTTCATAAATTTAAGACAATTATTTTATTTTGATTAGATATCATAGCAAGCAAGATAATGAAAACAATATGTTCCTTTATGTTTTTTCAAACAGGTTCCTTGTAACATTTCCTTATCCTGAAAGAAGAAAAGAAAGTAAGCATCTACTAATGTAATGAGCTTGGTCAAATAAGCCGCGTGGAAATCAACTGTGCTTTGATGACGTACAGAGGACTAGCTGTCACGCATGCATGGGTTGAAACTGAAAGTGTCGACGAAGGCCTTCCTTCTTTGGGGGCTATTGATGACATTTCGGACCCTATTTGATATTTATGTCCTTGACAAAATCCTGTTTTAGTTTATAAGTCTGACCGAGCAACCTTCATTTAAATTGAATAAGTCACATGGAAAATGATATTTTCCACTAAAAGATACCACAAAATTATATTTTCATAATTTCTTGGTGTCTGTTTTAGCTAAATTTGCAATTAAAGTCTAGCGGGATTACCACAATGGTTGTGGCCCTCTCTTTTTTCTTTGCTTGACACTCAAATCGAAACTCTAGGGTCTTTTTCCTCCCACTATAACCAAAAGAAAAAAGCAATTAAATAAGACATTAAAGTGATTTTACCAACAAAAAAAAATTGCGAGGTCTTCACAGTATTAACCCAAAAAAAATATATATATATTGTTTAGAACGAATTAGGTTAAGGGCACAAAAGAGATGAACTTTTTTTTAATAATCTTTTAAAAGTCCTTATCAACTTCAGAGCATACAAAGATTGTTAACAACCCAAGTCTCAACCACTTAACTAAGCCATTGCTATTCTAATTTATAACTAATCAATCCCAGGCCTGTCAAGCAGTTAATAACTCATTTTTCTTGCCCTGATTTTTCATCTGAAATGGAACATCAAGAAAGCAATGTGTTATTAGGTTTGTCCTCCCAGGATGGATACAGCAAGGGGTTTTTCATGCTCGTCTGCATGGTTTTGTCATGGATAATAGTCCATAGATGGAGCCAGAAGAACCAAAAAGGACCCAAAACATGGCCTCTAGTGGGAGCTGCAATTGAACAGTTGATGAACTATGACAGGATGCACGATTGGCTTGTCAAGTACCTCTCCGAATCAAACTCCGTCGTCGTCCCAATGCCATTCACAACCTATACTTACATTGCAGATCCTGCAAATGTTGAACATGTCCTTAAGACCAACTTTGCCAATTACCCAAAGGTGATCTGATATATTTATGAGATTAGTTACATTAATTGGTCCTTAGTTTTTCTTTAATTTCTTGTTTATCTCCCACTATACACATTTTATTGATTGAAGGGTGAAGTGTATCATTCGTACATGGAAGTCCTGCTTGGAGATGGGATCTTTAATGCGGATGGAGAGCTTTGGAGGAAACAGAGAAAGACTGCAAGCTTTGAATTTGCATCCAAGAATTTGAGGGATTTCAGCACTGTAGTCTTCAGAGATTACAGCCTCAAACTCCATGCCATTCTGAGTCAAGCATTTGAAGGCCAACAAGTAGACATGCAGGTGGGAAAATATTTCATTATAGTCTCTACACTTGGTTATTTTTTCTATAAATGGAGCTCTGAATATAATATTTTGTGCAGGAATTGCTGATGAGGATGACTTTGGACTCCATATGTAAGGTGGGATTTGGTGTAGAAATTGGAACTCTGGCTCCCAATCTACCAGATAATCACTTTGCCAAGGCCTTTGACACTGCAAACATTATTGTGACACTTCGGTTCATTGATCCATTGTGGAGAATAAAGAGATATTTAAATGTGGGATCAGAAGCTTTACTTGACAAAAGCATTAAAATCATTGATGATTTTACGTACTCTGTTATTCGAAGAAGGAAAGCAGAGATCAAGGAAGCTGGCCAGAATAGCGAAAATAACAAGGTAACATAATAACTTTTTGTGGGACTTATTGCTAAGTTTTTTCACCGTAGTTGAAGTCTCAAGGAAACAGATTTATTAGCTAAGAAATCAATTTCTTGATCAGATGAAGCATGATTTACTGTCAAGATTCATTGAGTTAGGCGAAGACCCAGAAAGCAAGTTAACTGACAAAAGCCTCAGAGATGTTGTCCTCAACTTTGTAATAGCTGGCCGGGACACTACAGCAACTACTCTCTCCTGGGCCATTTACATGATAATGTCCCATTCCCATGTAGCTGAAAAGCTATATTCGGAGCTCAAAACCTTGGAAGAAGATCGAGCAAGAGAAGAGAAGGTTTCGTTGGTCCAGTATGACACAGAGGACCTTGAATCATTCAATCAAAGAGTAACACAATTTGCAGGACTTTTGAATTATGATTCACTGGGGAGGCTGTATTATCTACACGCAGTTATCACCGAGACACTTCGTTTGTACCCTGCAGTCCCTCAGGTATGCATTTTCCCCAATTGAAAGATAGATTGTCAATGCTGTTTGCTAGAAGTAATGTATATGGCTGTAGGACCCCAAAGGAATCTTGGAGGATGATGTTCTACCAGATGGAACTAAAGTCAAAGCAGGAGGGATGGTGACTTATGTTCCCTACTCAATGGGTAGAATGGAGTACAATTGGGGACCTGATGCAGCTTCATTCAAGCCTGACAGATGGCTGAAAGATGGTTTCTTCCAAAATGCGTCGCCGTTTAAGTTCACCGCATTCCAGGTGTGTTTACTGAGCGATATTTTAACCGTATATCCATGAAAAGTTAGAGGTCAGTAACATAAACACTTGATCACTTCTGATTTGCAGGCAGGGCCAAGAATATGCCTAGGGAAGGACTCTGCATACCTCCAAATGAAGATGGCACTGGCCATTCTGTGCAGATTTTACAAATTCACTTTGGTCCCTGGTCATCCAGTTGAGTACCGGATGATGACAATTCTATCAATGGCGCATGGCTTGAAGCTTACCGTAGCCAGACGTTAATGTGATGCTTGTAGAGGCCAGAATGTCAACTGTGTCAAAGATAATTAAAAGCAAAATTGAGTGTTTTGTTCCATAAGTTCTTATATTCTGAAGCTTATTTGAATTACACGCATGATGTCAGAAATGACAGAAGTAGTTTCCCATACATGGCATTCTCAAAAGTTCAGGTGGTATATTTATTTCAAAGCTTCTAAGCCACAACACGTACACTATATACCAGATAAAAGCTTTGGCATTGTTTCTACCATTCCCATAAAATACAGTAAAAGTAATTAACATCACTGAAACCTAAATTCAGTTACACAGACTAAGAGATCAATCTCTTCTTCTTCTCTTGCCATTCATTGATTTCAGCATCAACCCTTGCTTGAACTATTGCATGAAACCCTGGGTATGGCTCATAACCGAAGAAGCTTTGCAGAGCCTGAAGCAATAACAAAACGCATAAATCATGATTGTCAAGTCAGTAAAAAATCAAACTAACAAGAAGTTAAAAATCCATCAAAATTACCTCTAACAGAACAAAGAAGGGAGCCATTAGAAAGGCTTGTGCAAGGTTGTCCAACAGAGCTGGTGCCCGTTTCTGCGGCAGATTACAATCATTACATAAAATCTCAAGAGTATGAAGACAAAAAGGACATGAAGTCACAGACAGAGTTAGAAATAAAAGATTTAATACCTCAAAAACCCCATGGCCAATAAACTGTCCCGTCCAACACACAATCTGTGCCACCACAACAACCTGAAAATAAGTTGTTAATGTTAGATGACCTAAAATGAAACTCTAAAGTCTAGACATACAAATAACACCAATATCATTTACAGCTAAAAACTCACTCACTCAAATGACTGAAATTTAAAGAAAAAGTTCAAAAACAGTATATAATTTCACAAATGAACGAAACCCAGATCATATCTTTCGACAGAAACTAAGAATAACTCTAGAAATTACCTTCCAAGAGATGGAAAACCCCAATTGGGTTGCAAGGAAACAGCTAGCAAACCAGCAAATAACACAAAGCAGAGCAGCCAAGGAGCCAGCTTTCGCATCCAAACAGACGTAAAACACCGAATAGATTAAAGTCAACAAGAGGCCGATGTTGAAAACCAGAACAACATGGCTCCCAAACAGCGGAAACCCAAAACTGAATAACGAGGGCGTGAAGTAGAGGATAAGAAGAATCGTGAAGAGGATTGGCCAAACGAAGAGCATGTGTATCGCTATGTTGATTGGGTTGCTGTGGTAAGCTCCATAGAAAGCAAAGTGCTTTTCAAGATCGAACAATCCAGTCTTCCCCATTGAGAATTATCGGGAAAATTTGACGGGTTCAAGGAGGAAAGAAAGGGAGGTGGTCGTTTTTATTGGCTCGTTCGTCAACCACAAAAAAGTAAACTTTCCTTCTTCGTACGCAACGCAACCACAAACAACTGAAGCTCACCCGCCAAGTTAATGAATCCTCGTCTAATTAGCTTGTTCACAAAAGAACCCTTGAATTTATTTATGATCAGACAATACCAAGAAAACCAAAGACTCGATCTCCACTGAAAACAAACAATCTCACCACCAGCCGAACGAATTTGACCCAGAAAGAAAAAACAAACAAAAAAAGAGCCAAACTAATTTATTAATTTATTATGAAAAAGAGTTTGGGCTTAATATTGGTAGCTAAAAATGACCCAATGTCTCAACTCAAGCCAGACCTCCTGGTTTGGGCCTCTTTCTTTGTCTTTTTTGGCCTTTTGGATGTGGGTGGAGCCCACCTAAACTTCTCCCTCACTCACCCAAAAACAAGATAATGAATGCCACGTGGCAAAAAGTGAGGTCCATGTTGGATTAACGGGCAACATGGTCAGCCACAAAAACCTGCCCAAGAATCCACAAAAACCACCATACTTCTATGAAATATTGGAAATTTGTCTGCATTTAACCAGAAGCCATGAGCAGCTTCACCAACACCACCACAACCTTCCTCCATGCCCAAATCACCAAACCCCAAAACTACCTCTGCAAAATCTCACTCCCATCCATCAAAGCCTCACTTCCAGGAGCAGGAGAAGAAGAAAACAATGCCACAAGTCGAAGAAAAATTGTGACAACATTTTTAGGCACTTCCTTGGCACTTGGGGTGCACCAACATGGCATTGCCACCCCACTTGGACTAGCCGAGAATTGGGGCACTCGTTCGTTTATAAGGGAACGTTTTTTTGAGCCCGGATTGTCTCCAGAAGATGCAGTGGCTAGAATTAAGCAAACAGCTGAAGGGCTGCACAGCATGAGGGACATGTTGGAGGCCATGGCTTGGAGGTATGTCATATTTTACATTCGCCTAAAGTCGGCCTATCTTTCTCAGGATCTGAAAAATGCGGCAACTCTGGTGCCAGATGTTCGCCGTCAAGAGTATGTTAAGACGGCCAATGAGTTGGTGAATAACATGACAGAGGTAGATTTGTTACTCTAAAGTATATTGTGTGTGTATTTATATATTGGTGATTTTTTTCTTTAATCTGATTAGAATGTGATCATGTTTGTATTGCAGTTTGATTATTATGTTCGAACGCCAAAGGTGTATGAATCGTACCTATACTACGAGAAGACATTGAAATCAATAGATGATCTGGTGGCGATGTTGGCCTAGTACGTACGAGGTGTTGGATGTTTTTATTTGGAGCTACATGATTGCAAATTTCAATGCTTTGGATTGAAACCAAATATATTTGGGTAAATATAAAAGCGCATGGCTCGTTTAGAGCTCTCGCAACGGTAATGCCACTACTAGAAAACCTCAGCCACAGGCAACCTGTGCCTTATCATCTTGGCATGCCAAAATAAAATTATAAAAAATTGCAGATTGAAGATGCAAAATAGTGCATGATCAGTAAATGAATATATATATGACAAGTTTACCAATTACTCTAATTTGTGTTTTTCTTCAATTGTAGTAGCTGAATTGCGAATGTATAAGCCTAATTCGACTATAAAAAATGCAAACATCTCAATTTTAATGATGGATACTAGAATATATGTTGCCAAATCTCTATCACAGATGAGAAGGCATATGAGATCTAACTGAAAGAAATACAGTTAATATCCTTAATAAAAACTTAAGGATTCATGTGCCGAGACGGTTTAGTTATGGTAATGTTAAAAGCCCTTTTTGTGACTAATTTTTGCAGTTGCTTAGAATGAACTATAATGTCAAAAGCCAAAAATAATATGTAAGAAAGCTATTTCATCACATATTTTTAATTAGGTTTAAGTGTGCATACAAATCAATATTGTCATCCATACACACACCTATGCATAAATTCATTGCAACAAATGTTGGTTTTAATTAGCGGTAGACAACATTGCAGTATGGCAAAAGAAAATGTAACAAGATTTTGCAGATTTGCTTTAAATAAATATACAGAACGTACATTTTATGTCGTGTAAATGAAAGGTACTAGGAGCAAATTTTTTCATATCACACACTTACAAACCCATGTACTGTATTCACACGAAAAGATGACATTAATACCAACCAGCAGTTCCTTTCAACACATCAGCGTCGAGAGATTGCCACAGATTGCATGATGATTAGGAGTACGAGTACAGTTATGGCAACAAAGGAGCCGATGAGAGACCCAGAAATGCGCTCGCAGAAGCTGTTGAATTGCCGGCAAAATGCAAACCAGTTGGTGCTGGAGTTGCCATAATGTGCCAGGTACACTATGGCTGCTGCTGCTGAAGCTCCAGCAGTTACAAGCCCCATCATCACCTTCACAAAATTCGAGTACATATAATTGAGAATTTGGCAGAGAATATATATTTGAGTGAATAATCAGCTAAGGTAGCATATATTACCGTGTCAGAGATGATCAAGACGATCCTGCTGTTTTTGGCTGCAGTCCAGATGATATGGACAAAGGATAAAGGAAGAGAAAGCACAAGGTAGACACATACAATTGAGTTTGCAATCACAAAAAACCTGTGTGACATGAAAGCACATGTACGAAGTTTTAGCCTTTTTTTCTTGAGGAAAAGAAAATAGTAGTTCAATCATTTTTGTAAAGATTAAAGATTGTTACGTTAACGTGGGAAGATCCTTGTAACGAGCCCTGAATCGAACAAACTGCGTGGTGAAGGGAAGCGTTTCCCGGCTGGTTCCCATAGCTATTGCACTTGCCAATGTTCCAAGGACTGCAACTACCCGCAGAGTGAAGTCTAGAACAGAGAGCACTCTGCTCACCCTTACTTTTGGGATTGGGATTGGGATTGGTTTTGAGGCTTCTTTATCAGTAGCCTCAACTGCTCCTCCTGCCTTCATTTTTCTTACTTAGTTTTTCTCTTTGAAAGTATAGGGAGTTTTGAAATTGTACTGTGTACTTGATGGACTGATGATATTGTTGTGGAGATAGATACAGGGGAAGGCATGCATTTATAGTAATTTGTATGTTGGGTTTCAATGCCTTGCCTTGTGTATGTATGCTTCTCCTGAGCATGCCATATGTAAGCCTGTGATAGGCTGAATGATGACATCTCACTGGTAAAGCTGGAGTTTAGTGACAAAGGCAATCCCACCGGCTCTCACTTGCTGTATATTTAATTCTGAACAAAGAGCCTTCTGCCAACTCCAACAATGAACAGATAATGCCATGACATTAGGACAAGGCTTTGTGCAAATTTTGTGCTACTAATTTTCTCTTGGTGACATGCCAGGGTCATAGGAAATTGGCCAATCAGGAATATGATCAAGTCACTGCTAAGTAAAGTCATGATCTTTATGCTTGTGGAGAATGCTGTCACTGTTTTAGTGGGTTTGGTGGCTTAGGGTTTAAACATATGTAATATGTTGTCTTTTAGGTTGAAAATGTATGTCAAGAAAAAGGCGCCATTAGGCCCAAGGCAACTTGGCAACGGCAGCAAGTCCAAATTTCCCATGAATACATGCAATGCAAACAGCACCAGGGCCTAACCAAATGGACCTGAAAACCTTACCTCTTGGCTCAAAAGGGAGGAAGAAGCAACAATATGTCATGAGCTACAGGACTTTCTGCTCAGTGAAATCTTGACGAGTAGAAATTTGTTTGCTGTTTTGGACCTGCACTACTGCACAAATCTTTATAATTGGGAAAAATAAAATAAAAATTGACCATCATCTATATAACAAACACCATGAAAATGCCATATAATCAACAAAAAAACATGGGATTTGATCAAAAAATGAAAAAGAAAAAACATGGGATCATTTTGTCAGAAAGTACTTGCAAAAAGCACAAATGAGAAAGTTGGGATTTTTATAGAAGCAAAAATGAGAAAACTTACTGCCATGTACATCATTCAATCTGGGCTTCTTCCCTCTTCATTATCATTATCATCATTGATCTAACATGTAAGCATGAGATAGACATGTAGCCATGGACAACTTGCCGATTATCTCTACTACAAACACATAAAACTTTTGGACCATCTGGTATTGGATACAAAACAAATTAAATTAGTGTTTTCATTCTTCTTGCTAATTTCAGGGTGCATAACAGAAGGCTCCTTGTTTCTCTCGCTTGCTAAAATTGCAGAGCATGGTTAGAAACAAAGTTGTCACATTTGATGAAAATTTTATGTACCTATAAACAAGAGAAGTAGTAGCCGACGGCAAGTCATCCTTGGCTGCATCACATATATATTATCTCATACTTACATGCAAGACCTGAGATGATTCATAATCCAATTTCAACCAGGGTCTTAAAACTTGCAGTGTTCTGTGGGAATGGTTGGGTTGGAATTTGGAAGGAGGGGGAGAAAAAGAAGAACCGCATTGGAATTTGGCTCATTACAACAAGAAGGAAATGATCCATGGGCCAGTATGAATATATAGGAAACTTGTTTCAGCTATATATCAGTGGATTTGGATTGTTGAGTTGAACCAATTAATGCAGAGACGTGGGCAGCAAGGATTTTACCAGAAAAAGAAGAGAAAAGGCTACCAATTTTTGCCTTGAAATTCATACATCAAATCAAAATAAGATTTGGTTCATATCCACTTTAGCTATGGTCTTATTTAGCAACAAGATTTTCTACATTCGGTACATCTTGGAAACAGAATCTTATCACTTGCCAAAATCATGTCTGCATAATGCAATAAAAGATTGGGAAGCAATAAATTTGCGTGCTACACCACTACTTGCTACTTGTTTTTCTTCTCTGTGATGCAATGCTTGTTGTTGCTAGCTATAAATCATTGCTATGCAAAATCTTTTGCACATGTTGCTGTATCTTTTGCTGATAGCCATTGTGATGTAATAGAATATGGGGCAATATCCAGACCGACGAAAATGGTTACGGGGGGGTGACATGGGCTAGCTGGTAATTATAATCCCTTTTCTTTATCAACTTTGGTCTTGATGAAGCAGAGAATTTTTATTTTTACTTTGTTGGACTCATTCAACCCTTTTATTCTGCCTCCTTTTTGTTTCCTCTCACTTTACAAAGTTTTAACACATTTGCAACAGACTTGTATTTAAGTGATTAAGAGTAGTTAACATTCACTCGAGATTCTATGTTCAAATCCTTCCTTAATCCAATTTTCTTGATTAAGTAAATTAATCAATAAAATTAAAGAAAATTAAGTATTGGAGTAAGTATAGTTTAGATTATCACTTTCACTCGAGATTAAGTAAGTATTGGACCAAGAAAATATCTCTGTGTTTAGAAATATTTGTTGCGTATGAAATAAAATAGCAAATATGAGGCCATCTTTATGAAAATATGGCCCAAAGGAAATCGAATTGAACCCAGTCAATTTCCGTACGGTTTCAACAAGGCCTCAACTCAAGTCTTACACAGCCCAAGACTTACTCTTACCACCCTTAAGAGAATGTGCGTCGTGTAGCGTAATCTCTAGGCATCGTTCTTCTGATAGCCTCTACTTCGCAATCGGATCACCCCGTTTCGGCTTTTTTTTTCTCCCTGTCGGATCTTTGATCAGGTAAACGAGCCACACCTTCACTTTCAGTTCTATTAGTCTTGCCTACTTGAACAATCTTGATAGATATTCATTGATCAAAGCTATTAAATTTGTGTTGTAATTTGTAAATCAAAGAACTCAGCTGCCTAGTTACAAGTCACTGGTATCTCTCATCTGGGTCATGCTTGTTTCTGGGTTCTTCTAAAGTTCTTGATCCAACTTGTCAGTACAGTGTGATTCTTGATATTTACAAGTGAGACATATTTTTAGTTGTGCTTTTCCACAAACTGAAAAGTTTTGTGAAGAAGTGGGAAATGATTGTAAAGGCCTGCATGTATATGAACTTAAATTCTAGTTGTTTTCTAATGCCATCGTCTTTCTTTAATTGTTTTTTTATGGTGCATATGGTAAGTGCGGGACGATTTGCTTCAACTTGTTTTGCTTCCTCTTACTCGAAAAGTTGACTTTCTTTTTCCATTTTTCTATATCATTTTCAAGATGCTGATCCTTTCTATATCCTCAGTCGGGTCATAAGTTAATGAACAGGCATATTTCCTGTATCTTGATCCTCGATGTTGGGTTCGGGCTAGGGAGTTGCGAGGCCTTGTTGAAGGGCTCCCTTCTTTTGTGTAAAATAGTCTTGATGTTCAACCAGAATAGAATAGACAAAAAAAAACAAGCATAGTTTTGACTAGCCTTTGAGGGAAAAAAATTGTAATGAGATAATCAAATATGACAAGACGAACCCAGTCTAGTTTTATAGAATTAGGGTGGTTGCTTTAATTCGTTTTTGTGGCATGAAACATTTATCAACATAGTCGTATTTATTTTTGTTTACAGGGTTATATTTGGGCCAATTTACCGACATTTGTATGCATGGCTATGATTTGATATATTGGAGTTGCACCAATTCATAGGCTTATCTTTTCTAAAAGTAATTGTTATGAGATTTTAAAGACGGAAGGAACTTGCTCACTTATTTGGACATTGCAATGATAGGACTGGATTTGATTACATCTGTTTTTGATTGAGTAGAAGGATTCTTTTATTTCTGTAGTTGTCACCTGTGCCCAGAGAAAAATATGTCAGATACAAACACGGAGGAGGTGAAGGAGCCAGAGCTTGCTGATAGTGCTCCTAAGGATCAAGGTGCTGGTGACAATGCCGATAGTGCTCCTAAGGATCAAGGTGCTGGTGACAATGCCGAGGAAGACCTAAAAGCTTCAAATGAAAATCATGAAAATCCCATGCCTTCACCCCAGCAGGAGGTACAACTCTGCTCCGCAAATCGTTCTAAACTTTTTGAAATTTCTTGCCTGTTGCCCTGTTATCTGTTAATGCAAACTGTCTTTCTCATTGAAACGATCTTTTTGCATCAAAATTTCTTTATATATCATCAACTTGCTTCATTTGGCCAATAGTTGAAGTTATGCAGTAGGATCATTGTCTACAATTTTGTCTTCTTCAGGAGGCAACAATTAAGAAAAAGTATGGAGGCATATTGCCAAGGAAGCCTCCACTGATATCCAAGGTACTTGTTGGCCTTGTTCTCTCTCTTTACCCCCTAGCTCCCCTTTCTGAAGTTTCTGATCTAGTTCTATCTTTATTGAGATAAATAAAGCCACCAACAAGCAATTTGAATTTTCTGTCAGGACCATGAGCGTGCTTATTTTGATTCTGCTGATTGGGCATTGGGAAAGGTACTCATTTGGATTTGCTTAGATTGTAGTTGCTATAACTCTGAAGGTTTGAAGCCTAATCTCTTTGCCTATCTTTGGTTCTTTTTAACTTCTTCAACAGCAAGGAGCAAAGCCAAAAGGACCACTTGAAGCACTCCGCCCAAAGCTGCAGGTGTGTTTGATGATAGCACCATTATTTTTCTTACCTCAAGCTGGCTAGAAGTTGTTAGGGGTTGAAAGATCAGCCATTACCATGCGCAAAAACTAAAACTGTAACATAGATAGGAATTCTTTTCTTCTCCTGTTATCCTTTGCTATACATCAGTACATGGTTTTTATCTCTTATATTTGTCTGTTGTTGTCATCAGCCCACACCACAACAGCAAGCGCGTTCAAGGCGCTCATCTTATTCCCGTGCAGGCGACGGCGACGGTATGTGCAATCAATAACCAATTTCCAACAACATCACCAATAAACTTCTTGTACATGTTAGAAAACCATGTTCACCACTTGAACTCCTTTATCTCTTTCCTACAATAGATGGCGGCAATGACAACACTTCTTTGGAGGACCAAGTAGACGGTGGCAGCAGTAACACGACGGATGAGGATCAGAGCCGCCACCACGAGTAGCTACCGCCTGCTGCAGGTTCTGAACGTTGAAGCTGAGAGTCAGATCTCACCTTGTTTAAGGTGCCAGAGCAAATAAAGATAAAACTTGCCAAATTTTTGTATTGGTTGTAACATGTAACATGAATCATGTACACATTTGATGAAGATATGACATTTCATTTACGTAAATTTCTTATATGGGATTGCTCATATTGAGAGAGAGCTCCATGAATCTATATATATAAAGCAAAAGGCAAAGAATGGTGAAACATTCAAAATATGAGAAAATGCGCTTGGTTAATTCAAACATCAAGAATTGAAATTATTAATTAAATGAGGATAATATGGTAAATTCACATTTATTTATATTTAAAAAAGGCAAAAAGTCACTTTTGGTCCCTGTAATTTGCCACTTTAATTACTTTTGTCCCTGTAGTTTCAATTTGATCAATTTTGTCCCTGTACTTTCAATTTCGAGCAATTTAAGGACAAAAGTGAGTTTCTGTCAAATGTATGTAACTTCTGTTAGTTTTTTGTCATGTGCCCCTCACGTGGAGGGGCAATTTTGTCCAATCATGCGCAGCTTAAGGTCTGCCTAGCTATGGACTCCATTCCAAATTAGACTTTGGGGATTTTCTGGGTTGGGTTCGTCAAAAATTGTGATTTCTAGGTTTAGAATTGGTTCAATTCATAGGATTTTCTTTTTATTGTTGCTCCAAAACCCCGCCCACTCTTCAGAGTGTTCAAAGTTATGATAAAAAATGATAGCAAGACATAAAACAACAAGAACCAAATCAGTTGTAAGTCGACTTATTGCTCTGCAATCTCAACCTCGCCAACACCACAAACCCCCCCCTTCAAAATTCATATCCATTTCTTCCTTAGTTTTTGTTTTGGTTTCATTCAACAACCAACCAAGCCCAAAAGCACGAACAAACACTAGCCAACACCAAAGGAAACATTAATGGCACACAAACACAAAAACCAAAAACTAAAAACATCCACAAAGCCAAAGGGGACCAAATCACAACCTCAACCTTCTTCCTCAGTTTAATCAACCCATTTGACAACGAAGTCCAACAGGCCCAACAGCAAACCAAACAGTTGTGAAGACTGATTCGAACATGTGGCTAGCCGGGCAATTGGTGAAGATCGAAGGAAGAGTGGCAGCTGAAGCAGACAGAGTAGGTGCTAACAAATGCATCATTGTGAATTTGAGTATAGAGCCGACGACGAGAGTCGAGAAGACGAAGTTGAACTCGTTGATGGAATTTCTCACCCTCTCCTTGCCCTCAATCAAAATTTTTGAAGAACCCTAACCCAGAAAATCCCCAAAATCGAGTCTAATTTGGAATAGAGGAAGGGTAGCTTGGCAGACCTTAAGCTGCGCACGATTGGACAAAATTGCCCCTCGACGTGAGGGGCACATGACCAAAAACTAACAGAAGTTACATACATTTGACAGAAACTCACTTTTGTCCTTAAATTGCTTGAAATGAAAAGTACAGGGACAAAATTGATCAAATTGAAACTACATGGACAAAAGTGGTTAAAGTGGCAAACTACAGGGACCAAAAGTGACTTTTTGCCTTTAAAAAATTATAATTAAAAATAAAATCAGATAATAGGTCCTGCTTTTGTGGAATATAACTACCAATGTTATCTTTTCTTAATTTAAAAATAAAAACAAAAATAAAAAATAAAACCAATTGGCATAGTATATACTGAAGGCAGAATTTTAGAAAAAGGTTTTATTTATACGAAGTATCATCAAGATAAAACGACAGAGTTTATGCTGTCGTTGGCCATGAAAAACATAATAATTCCATAACATGACACCATTCACTCAAGAAAACAGACACCACTGGCCATTGTAGAGATGATCCTTCGCACCATTCCCTTCTCATCCAACATCGCGCCACGTGGCCTAATCACATCGCGTTCTGATTCTTCTCCAACCCGAGTCAACTCAGATGCTTCAACCGCCGGGTCACTCGGGCCGGACTCGTTCTGTTTCAGCGGCGTATGTTCGTGCGGAAGAAGGCGCTTCGTTGAAGCAGCAGTAGCCACATCGTTATTCCCAATTTGCCCCGCCACCTCCATCGCTTCCAAATTGCCTTCTGATAATTATACGGTACTTTCTGGTCTTTGGACACTTCACAGAAAATTTGGTGGTTTTTTTAAAAAAATTGTGTGATGCATGCTTAGGCCATGCTAGAAAAAGTTCATCCTCCAAGACCAGACTGGTATGAAGAGTTCTATGCATCAGTCTTGAACACCTCCATGCAATCTTATGAAGACGAGGTTAGTGGTTAATTAGTAAATACTAAAAGTTCCCATTTAACTAAGTTTTGAGATTAGTGATTAATTAGAAAATGTTTCTTGCTCAATGAGGTTAGTGATTTCATTTTATGAGTAAGATTGCAGGTTACAAGGCAGAGCTGTTCGCTGAACTGAAGGGAAAAGCTCAGCAAGTGTTGGAAATTGGTATAGGGACTGGTCCTAATCTTAGATACTATGCTGCTGATAGTGGTGTCCGGGTTTTTGGTGTGGATCCAAATATAAAGATGGAAAAGTATGCTCGGGCTGCCGCCGTGGCTGCCGGTCTGCCCCTTTCGAATTTTGAGTTTGTACAAGCAGTATGTGAAACTGGTTATTAATTTATGAAGCTTGAATTTACAACATTCAATGTATAATTTCTTATAATGCAAATTTTACTGACCTGCAACTTTTTGAATATCGGTTTCTAGTATTTGTCCCCTCTTTGTGAAATTTGCTTTTTGTTTGTGACATATTGGAAATGCTTAATCTTACCCAGGTTGGGGAGGCTATACCATTAGATGATGCTTCAGTTGATGCAGTTGTGGGAACCCTTGTATTGTGTTCTGTTAAAGATGTTGATAAGACTCTGAAAGGTAATGGTTTTGCATAAAATTCCTGACTTGTGGGTTGTTGCTTATTGCTCATTTTTGGTGTTATATTCAGAGATAAAGAGAGTGCTGAGACCAGGTGGAGTTTACCTGTTTGTGGAGCATGTGGCTGCAAAAGGTAGGTAGTGAGCTGAACCCAATTTCTAATTCATTGAGGAAATTGAGGGGAAGAAGGTGTTATATATGGTTGTCATTTTCTGAAGTAAGCAACTGGTTATGGTGGTGCAGATGGAACAATCCTCAGATTTGTACAGAGTGTTCTTGATCCTCTGCAACAAACCCTAGCTGATGGCTGTCATCTCACCAGGGAAACAGGAAGGAGCATATCCAAGTCTGGGTTCTCAGATGTTAGGCTTAGCACGACCTCCTTGTCCAGTGCCTCTATCGTAAACCCTCAACTCTTTGGAATAGCTTGTAAGTAATAATAACACAAGGCCATAGATGGTTTGCTATTTGGAGCAGTCTAAAACTTGAAATTATTTTTTTTTGCGCAAATCGGAATTCATTAACCAAATTAAGAGGGTACAACAGTATCATCATCAAGTAGGAAAGGCTCTCCAACCAAAGGGGAGCCTCTTCATTCCATGTTACAATAGAGATGCATTTGAAAGCATGTTTGTTTAGCTAACATATGAGCAGCCTGATTACAACCGCTTGGAATGAAAGAAACAGAAATATTCTCAAACTGTTGCATACTCCTCTTAACATTATTGGGCTTGGGCCTTTCTAAGCAAGCAATAGTGAGCCCATGTGGCTCAATTTCTCACAAGATAAATAAATAAATAAATCTTTTTTTAATCATACTAGAATAAAACAAATTCTATTGTTCAGAAAATCATCAGGCTTGGCAATATGTAATTCAATCTAAGATATATAATTATATTATCTTGCTCAGGTTGGTCCCGGATATATATATGTATATAAATACATGTGATTTAAAATATAATTTCATTAGCTCACGCAATCCTCTACAAAATTATTATTGCTATAAACAATTAATTAAATAAATGTGAAGAAATAATAATTTAAAAAAGTCAAACAAAATTGGTGACAAAAAGAGACAGAGAAATAATGACATGCAAGTAATGACAACAAAAAAACCAATCTGCCAGTGCCACCTACAGAAAAATATTGATTAAACTGCACAACTCCAGCAAAAAGAAAAAAAGAAAAGAAAAAATAAATAAATAATATACGGCACAAAAAAGAAGGTAATCCAATTAATTAAGCTAGAAGAAACAGGGAATTGGATGGGATTATGCAGAAAAGGGAGGATCTTAATGCAAAAAGGTTCCTAAATAGGCTCCTCCTTTTTCTCCCCGATATATTAGGGTTTTCATTTCTTACTCACTCGACAACCAGTCGCCTAGGCCTAGCTCACAGTTTCTTCTCGTGCTTCGTCATTGTCTAATTGTAAGCTCTCTTCCTCGATTTACATTTCTGGGTTTTAAAAAGACCAGTTATTTATTTTTATCTAACTGGGGCTTTCTATTTCTAGGGTTTTTGACTGATGTTCAGTTCTCAGATTTTGCTTTCAATCTGCTTTGGTTGTCTCACTGTACTGTTTGATGAACTTTTGGTGTTTCCAAGACCACGTTCTGCTCCTTATGTGTCTCTGTTAACTTTCTAAATTTGTATGCGCTCTATAAGGTTGAACTAGATTCCTGGCCTTGTGCTGAACAAAAATATGAAAAATGCACACTCTGCCAGTCTTGAAATTTAAGTTAACTTGGGTCGTTTTAAGAACCCACTTGAAGTTAAAGTCACTGGCTTTGTGAAATTTATGTAATTTATCGGCTTTCATTTGTTGATTTAAATGATGATGGATTAGTATCTTGTTGAGTATTTGTGTTGTGGAGTTTTATTTTGTTGAACATTTGGAGTTGAGAGTACTTGTGTTGAACATTGCCTTATCTAAAGTTTTTCTAACTTTCTTGGTAGGGTTGCCACTATGACCACTGAAGAATTCTGAAATATTTGTCATTTGCTGAAGATTTCTGGAGTTGTAAGCAACATACTCTGAATATGTATTGTTAATGCTGATGAGGAAATTTTGATCCTCTGTTTATAAGTGTTTGCCTGTTTTATATTTTGAAGTTCTACCGCACTGTCCAATTTTCTTGAAGTGTGGGTCTTCGCACCCTGACTGCAGCACTTAATGCTGTTAGGTGTTGTAGGATTCATTGTTGTACTAATTATATGTTGTGCCATTGATAAGTGGCGCTTGACATAAGTGAATGTAACTTGTTTCATGTAAGTGATATAAATTAGTGAGCTGAGCTTTAGGAAGATTGATAGCAGATAGAATCAATCTTCTTGTGTCTTATAAAAAATAGCTAAAACGGGGTCCCTGTGTTGTGTGGCTGCAAGGCCACATGAATCACATACGGCCAGTAGGGACTGGTCCGTGGGTCCAGAGGAGCCTTGCTGGCGAACTAATACGAGCTTCTCACCACCCCCATCGAGATGGGATTTCCGATTCCAACCTGAAGAACTACAGTATGGTTTGCATGATGGTATTCAGCAGCATGGGTCTTCTACTTCATCAAACAGTAAAGGAAGTAGGGGCTGGGTAAGAGGCAACAATCTCTATAATCATCACTACTCTGCATCTGATGGTGCTGCACTGTTTTTAAGTAGTTCATCTGACCTTTCTCAAGGTCCTCAGTGGACACCTCCAGCAATACAGGAAATCAGTATAGATGATTATGAAACTGCAAAAAGGAGAGGTAATACAATTGATAATGCATCTCTATTTCAGTGTTTTCTGTGCATGCATACACATGTTGATGTCTGATAAATTAGATTGCTTTTGGGATGAATTTCTAAGTGTTGGCTTTAAAATCTGGTCTCAGAAAAAGCATATGAAGAAGTAATGTGCTAAGTGCAATTGCTATGCGGGTAACTTCAAAGATTAAACAATTTGGTGGATTAAATTTTTGTGGTTCATTTGGATTGAACAGAGCTATAATATTATTTTATGTCTGTTAATAATCTACCAAGTACAAATGAATTTGTGCAAATGATCTTGCATTATTATAATTTATTGTTTATATTTTGAGATACACGCATTTGTGTGTGTTGTTTGTTACTGCACAATTTGATGGTATGTTGGTCATTGTTTGAAATAATTAGACATTGCAGTCTCTCGTAAAAAAGTTCTCACATCTTGTAGCCTTCTTTCTTACATCTCTCTGTGTGTGCACACTCGTGTATTTGTGTACACTTTTGCTTCGCACAAAAAGATGACCATCTGGGTTAGGTGATTTGATAGTTGGTTTTTACTAACAACCCTGTGTATATGTGCTTGCTCTATCTTCATTTCTCTGTGTTACATGATTAGTGTTATAGTAATTTTCACAAATTACTCTATTGTTTAATAACTCTGGCTTTATGCTCTAATTACATCTTAATTAGATTCATGAAAAAGAAAAACCCTTCAATCATAATAACCATTGTCATGCTTAATCTACTTATACTAGCAACTTAAGGAGCATCTCTTTCTTCTCTATTGTTGGCAGTGTAGGGTCAGAGTGAAAAAGAGTGTTAGAAGCTTGCTAAATCTGATCTGGAATCATGAGTTCAGTTGACATTATCCACGGGGGTTCTCATTGTTTTCATTTTGAATTATTTGGTTGCATTATTATGTCGTTTGAGGTGTTTTCTTGATTGATTTCTTACATATGCCATTTAATTCTTACATGCTTAAATAATTACCACGATTCATCAATAATCAGACCCCTTCAGCCTATAAAATAGGGAATTCAAAATTTATACTTATTAAGGAAATTTAGTAGTCTCAAGATTGTCATCATTCTTTCTAATATTCATGTTGTGAGTTATTTTCATTAATTTAATGTCACTCCCTCTTACTTGCTAGGTCCAGCTTTTGGGCATTCATTCTTTAGACCTACTATGGAGGTATTTTGTGAGAATTTAACTTTCAAATTCAAATTTCCTAGTTTATTTAATCAAATAAATTTATTTTGTGTTTCCTTTGATGGTATCTTGCAGGGAACCTCAGAAATTCAAGACACCGGGGAGTCCTCCTCATCCCGTTCAGACAGCAGTGAGTCTGAACCTGCAGTCAAGGCATGCCTATCTTCTCATCATACTTTACCGAGTCGCCGTTCATTCATGTCCAAACCTATTCATCCCTTATCTTTTCCTGCACAAACTCCTCCAAGAGAAGCTTCTGACCTTACATTAGCTGGATTTGCGGAATTTGATGCTGCCACTCCTCAAAGAGATGGCCACCGCTGGAGCAGTGCGAGTAGCAGCATTGATTTTGCAGATGTTTCTGAGTCATTTGAGGCAGAAATTTCTGGTCGACCATGTAATAATATGTCTGATGGTTTTAGATGCGGGTTGTGTGAAAGGTTTCTTTCACAGAGATCACCTTGGAGTTCTCGTAGGATAGTAAGAAGTGGAGATATGCCAGTCACAGGGGTGCTTTCCTGTTGTCATGTCTTCCATGCAGAATGCTTGGAGCAAACAACACCCAAGACACGTAAAAATGACCCCCCCTGCCCATTATGTGCCAAATTTGAGGAGGAAAATCTCCCTGAGCAGCAAGGCTTCTCAAGACTGCGGACTGGTTTTCCACGGCTCAGAGCAATTTCTGATGACGGGCCATCCAGGCCTTGGGGATGTACGCAGGTAGGAGATTGTGTTGAAGGGGCTTTGCATGCTCCCCCGCGCAATAGCATGCTGTTGCTTAACAGAAGTCGCATAAAGAAAAATCTTTCTTTGAAAGGTAATTTGGGCAAAGATTTTCCAGGTCAGTTGAGAAAAAGTGGCTCTTACTCTTTTCAGCATTTGAGTGGAAAATCAGCTGACCAGGGAGCAGTTGGAAGCTCAAAGTCAAAGATGACTGCAGGCCTGAGTATTAAGAACTGAAGAAAATACATAGCTAAATTGGAACTCTGAAAGTTTTCTTGACAGGCAATCCTTGAATTCTGCTATTTAGTTGTAAGTCTGAATAGATTATATATCTGCAGTGATTGGATTGGATAGCCTGCCGCCTTGTATAGATTTGATCTTGCTCAAATTGTGGGTTGAAACCCTTCTTGGAAGTAGACACATGTATGTTTACATTGCTATTGTGCCTCTGTATTTTGATTTGTGTATGAATCTTTTTTGCCCTCTAAGAAAAGGGAAATATATTCTTCTTCTTTTTCTTTGGTCTTGTGTTGTTCTTGGAAAGCATTAATTGCCAGAAATCGTTTTAGAATTGTGGAATACTATTAATTTATGAAAGACATGCTTCATGTAACGATCTTAAAATAAAACAGTTCAATGATTCTGACCTTGGTTAGGCTCCCTCCATTTGTCTACACACGTCCTTAAAAATAAGTAGGAGGTTGATTTTTGCCCAGGTAGCTCAATCTCTGTCTGGACCCTGTTTAACTGGGATTTGTGGAGACTAATTGAGTTGTTGATTTATCATTTCTCCATGATTCATTGGTCCTAGTTCCCTGGATAGGAGATACGCTTGATGGCTATTGGCGGTAACCAGTAAGTTTTGTAGCCACACAAAGGAAAAGATAGAAAGGAAGAAAATATCTTCATGTGTGTGTACATGGTACTGGCTGAAATTTGAAATCACAAGTCACCGTTTTTGAGGACTGGTGTTGAAGACTTTGCGTGCTCTGTGTGATTGCAGTAGGAACAGAACCCTTCACACACATAAGAAAAGTTGAAAGCGCTTTTTCCAGAAGTTATATATTTGCTTTGGCATTGCTCTTTCATACATCATCAAAGTAGACACATGAGGCAGGATGCCCCATGTTGTCTACTGTCTCACCCTATTTTCTTAATCAAATTCGAATATTACTATAGCACAGATTTACAGATAAGAACAAAGATTTCAGTTCATAAAATAAAAACATTCAGATATCAATACATACATACAAGTTCATTGTCAATATTGGTCCTCTCCTCTCCAAACTTGCAATGAAGGGTTTACATCAGTGGACCAGGACATCATTATGTGAGGTTTCAGTTTCACCTCCGCCACATAAACAGAAGAAAATTACCAGTGGAACCAATTTCCATAGCCATTGAAATTTTTACATGGGCCAGTGGATATTTGCTGAGGGGACCCTAGCTAGGGCTGCACAGAGAGAGGGGACCATCTTAAGCACTGAGCAGAAAATCCTTCTCCTTCCCCTTCCCCACAATCATGTGCTCAGTCGGGTTTGCCCCAGACAATTTCACATTGTGCATTATAACATGAGATCCCATGCCCAAATGTTTCATATTTTCTTACTCATGCAACTAACTATTTATCAACTGTCACTGTTGTTGCAATTGGGCCCTCTTGGATCATCAAAATGGTTGGTTCCTTCAGCCACTAGCCACGTTCTCATGTCCTTTTCTTTGTGCACCAATTTGCCACATTGGGATAAAAGCCTTATGCTCCTACAAAGATTTCGAATAATATTGCGATTTTGACACCCCCTCCTTATAGTCTCAGATTTTTTTTCCACGTATCCTGTTTTTTCCTTGTTCCCCAATGAAGGTGATAAAGTGTGGCTAAGGTTTTGAATTGTAAATAAATGTACAAATTTCAAACCAAAAAGATCGAAGCATAACTTTTTCGATGGCTTTTCAAAAAGAAAACCCTTCCCTTGTTTCATGGTTTCCACATATGATATCTCTCAGTTTGTGGCGGCATCGCTCGTGTTACATCTCTAGTACTGTTGTTATCCATAACCTTATCATTTCGCAGCCGACAATTAGTAAACGTGATGTCCCAATTTGCAATTTGATCGACTGACTGATTTTTTTAGCTTAATCATGGTTGGTCATAAGGTTAACAGGAAGAAAAATCACACCCAAAATCTTCATGGCATTTTTATTGCGTCTGATGGAAGGTTATCTGACAAAGCTTCATCATGCAGTCCATCCAACGACGTGCCACTTTTTTTCCTTTCTTTCCTTTCCTTTTCTTTTGAACGACTTTATAAGTGGCTGTTTTCTTTAATGATATGGAGGGTGAATTGGAAGTCAAATTCAGTTGGCGCTCAAACTGAACGCAACCAGTGTTTTCAAAAAGAGAAAAAGGTTTTCTATCTATCCTAGGTAAAGAAGAAGAAAAAAGGTCCAAGTAGATTTCAGCTTGGGTTCAGTTGGCTTCTCTAAAAAGGTAAAGCATGTTCTGAACTAATCACCTGATGAGGTAGGAAGTTTTAAAAACCATATAAAAAAGACTGGGAGGGAAGGGGAATTGAACAAAAGACCTCGGGTGTAGGGTAAACCTAAAGTAAGAGGAGTGCATATCCTTAAACCTAAAGTAAGAATCAAGGTGAGGTGCATGTGATGGGTGGGGTTGGGGGGTCCAAAGGACTTAAGCGTGATGAACTTTTTTTTGTTTTGTTTTCTTTACAAGTTAAGTCTCAATCAAAAGCTTAGTGCTCCAACATGCTGGCCTCCTTCATGTGGGATTGTTTCCTAACAAGTAATTAAACCAGTTAGCTCTGGCAGTGGCAACCTAACTCCTCTCAGTTAAGCCTGTCTTATTACCAGTAGTCTCAACATTAACTCTTGAAATGGAAACTGCTGAAAAAGTAGAGAGCATGCTAATTAACTTGAGTGGGTTTGCTTTTGTTCAGTGCTTCATACCCTCATCACCTTGTCATGGGGGAGACACTACTATTTTTACTTATATTTTTATATCTCAGAAGACTCACACAACACTAGTGGGTGACGACCATGTTGTCGTGCAATGGATATTTATTTCTTGTTAACCTTTCTTTTTCTTCACCTAAGTGCAGAGCTGGATTCAATTAGCAGTGAATAGGGTTCTCCTTCTCCATAAGAAAACTGAAAAGTACCCTTCACACGACAGTCACACTCACTCATGTCAAGCTCACGCATTTTTGTCAATTTCAATTTTGCCATCTTGATAAATTGATAGAACCCTAATGTCGCTATGATCTTTTCTTGTTGTGACAAATATCAATTTCAACTTTTATCGTTTAGTCTTCATCACTAATATGCAAATATCAGAATTTGCGGTTTTCTTCTTACCATGTCTGGCAAAGTAACAAAGAGAGAGAGCTATATTTTGGCTCAGTTCTACTCCAAATGAGGAGAAACATTTATATGAAATTGATATTTTGCCATCCCCGGTCAATCACGGTATGTCACCCGTGATAACTTTTTCTTGTGGTCATTTGTAATTAATCGGAAATAACAAACAATGTTATTCCCGTTTCATATAGGTTAAACTGTCAAATGAGGCCTTCCATTTGATGCCTCATGCTTGCAAAGCCCTAGCATCCCAAATTTCTTTTTCTTTTACTCTCATTCTTTCAAGGTGTAGGACCATTTTGTCAGCACTAGGATATGTGCTTATCAAGTATCATAGATCCATACCAACCCAAGTTATTATGATATGGGCCTCATAAAATATGGGCCAACCAGTTAAAAAGCATTTGACCAATTGGAGTTGAAGAAGAACGGTAAAAATAGAGACTTTTTCCTACATTTTTCATGATATATATAAATCCTAATCAATTGAAAGTTGCACAAATCGCATGTGGATGTGTTGCCCTCACCAAGCCTAAACAGATAACTTGTTTCAAACGTTTTGCAAATCTGAAATTCAAACGTCCAAACAATGAAGTGCTAATTGATTTATAGTTAAAGGGTAATGGATGAATATTAAGCACCAACTTGAACCATCAATTACATATTTCATATATCATACCATTTGTTGCAATTTTTATTTAGTGACCTAATAACATGTGGTTGATCATACTACTTGAAAGTTGAAACCATTAAACGTAAACTCGAGTTAGTAATTGTATTATCCGTCTACTTTTGCCACTGTTTAAGAGAATTCTCACGGATTTTCTCTTTCTGTGAGTAACTTCCCCTAATCTACGTCACATATATGCATGTGTAATAATAATACTTGTAGTTGACTATAAAAAGAAGAATGATTAAAGGTATGCCTAGAAATGTAATTGGAACTCGACCCAAAAAAAAGAAAAAAGAAATGTAATTGGAAACGTACAAGTCAAAGCCATCTAAACCATATGGTAGATTGGCACATGCAAAGGGACCTAGAAGAAGAGACGTACAAGCACATGCGTTGAAGTGTGACTGCAATTTAAAACCTCTTTCTCTACGTGTACACACGTGATGGCATTTGGCACCCTCGTTGTTTGTTGCTTGTAATGGGCGAAAGGTATGTGATGCTTGATTCAAATGAAATCTACTAACAATGTTTTCTATATTTTTCTATCCATTTTTCCAACTTAATTACCCAAATATTTAAAAATTAATAATAGACTAATATAATTCAGAAAACTTTGATGATCAAGTGAACGTGAATAAATTTGTAAACTGATAAAAACCCAAGACGTTTCTTTTGCTTCTACACTTAACAATATTAAAAATTCCAAATGTAATTAGTTAGTTAATTGCTAATTGCTAGTTGCTTCAAATAGGGGTCTCCTCTCTAAAGCAAATGTAATTTCATGGCTTATGTCATGGAATCTCTGACCTAGTTGTAAGACGCTTTTATGATCTCAAACAAGCGTCACGACTATAAAGCGATTTAAATTAATTTATCCAAATTTGCTTTATCTAATCATAGAGAGGATGAAGAAATTCCTAATATGTAGTTAACCATCACATCGATTTTGGTCCTGCTACGCAACACCATGAATCAGGTTTTGTAGAAACAAATAGACCCGAAAATGATAGTTTTAAATGCTATTAACTCAAGCTTTCTAATCCCCCCCCAGTTTTTCAACAAAAAGATTGCGTGACAAGAAAGGTGGCAGCTGGATTTGATTCTTAAATTATGTAAATCTCTTACTTAAATTTAAGTACTATTAATTTATTATTTTACTCATAAAAATTCATTTGTTTGTACGTATACATAATTTCTTTTGACTGTTCACCACATACGTTTTAGTAAGTAAAGTTTTGTTTTTTGTTTTTTGGTTTTTGTTCACGGGTGGGAGAATGGAATAAAAGAAGGCACAAATGACCATTGTGATATCATATCAAGCACAGAAGAAAATAAAAGGGTCGCATAAGCACATAACCTACAAGAATCCACTCAAAATGGATGTAAATTTAAAAACCATGGGACCTGCGTGGCCCGAAGAGGAATTAGTGTGTAGTCGATTGACTCCAAACTTTTTTGTGGACTAATTTAAAATTCAAAACAAGATCCAATGCAAACTTTTGCATAACTTTATAGGGTTTAATCAATTGTTAAAAGTCAAGTGATCCATCATTAAATAAAGTAACAAGAAAATCAATGCAAATCTTAAGCATAATCGGTGTCGGCAACATTTCTTCTTTCATAATATCATTAAAAAAATGTCAATTTGATAAGTGACTTACATGTTACTTGTTAAAAACAAACGAGATTCAAAGTAAGTATTTTGATGTCTCTAGCTTTTTTTTAGACCAAATAGAGAGGCTCTCGTTCCATTATCATTTTATTCTTCACCTTGTGGAATAAAGAACCCTTTTTAAATTTTAACCTTTTGGCCATCATTAATACTTGTTGAACCAAAATTATAAACCAAACCAAACCCTAAACTTTGAAAGCACTTCACCAAATCCCGTGGGTAGTTGGAAGCGCTTTTAGAGCACGTATTTGATTTTGCAATCAATTACACTACTTTCCGCAGTGCTATATAGAATATAGAGGGAGGAAAGGAGGAGGGATATTATTGTTGCTAGAGGTAGTTGGGTTGGTTAACCAAAGGCAGTTTAAAACTTAAAAGAGAGGAGACAAGAAAACAAAGCTGAAAAAAGCCAAATCTATCTACCACAAAAAGATATATCTTCTTCTCACACTTAGTCCTTTTACTACTAGGCAACAACAACTCCTTTGATCACGGGTTTTAGCTTCTCTCTTCTCACTCACATTCCCTTAACTCGTGCCTTCTTCTAGATCATTGTGCTGTGTGACTTTATTCCCCTCTGAAAATTCAGCTTGCAAGGGCTCTGGGGACACTGAAACACCATTCATAATCACACCAAACTGAATCTTCTTTCTCCACCATTCTTTTCTTTTGAATTTTTTTTCTGTTGGGTAAATAAGAATTTTCTATTGGATTGCCTGGACCACATGTTGGGGGTTATTATTTGTTTCATCTTTGGCTTGGAGTCCTTGCTGGATAAAGCATATGATGACCACTTACTTTCTAACAACACAGCACACGAAGGGAGACAAGAGATGAATACAGATTCTGATGAGTTGGGAATTACAGTCAGCCTCACGGGCGTTTCATTAGCCCTATAATTACCACCACTACTTCAATCACAGTTAAATCTTTATTTATTTTTTAAGATACGAACGAGATTAGAAAAGGAGTGATTCAAGTATAAGACCTCAGAGTGCATGCGTAACTATTCTTAATCACTTGCGCAACTTGTCGCTTGCATCACAATCAAGTCTTTAATCCTTATTAACAAATTATTATAAAGGCTATAATAACTTTTGTAGTCAAGTGAACGCTTGGCTTGATTTAGTTACTAATGCCTTTTTTCGTTCAGTCAAGATTCAAGAATTGATTGAGGGGATTTCGTATTTCGAAGTATTTATTTGACTTTAGGCTGCAGCCTTGCAGGGTTCAGAGTATCAAATCCTGACCTTAGACAGGGTCGCAGACTCGCAGGGTAGTGAATCCTTTAGAAACAGTGAAAGGTATGAGAGATCAGAAAAAGGTAGCAAAATCTAGACCGGCAGTAGCATTTGATTGCGTTGGAACGATGGACGGTCCAGATGGAATCTTACAAAAAGGACATGGTTGAAAAGCAAGTTGGACTGTTGGACTATTTCAGTTGGACATATCTCAACTACAAGTTGGTTATTGGCCGTTAATCCTTCAACTTTCAAATAAAATATATCTCAACTTATCTCTTCTTTTTCTGGAGATGAAGATATGGAGAAAATTCCCTATGGGGGCCTTGCAGTGTAATTTTAGAATATCAGATTCGATTATGAAATGCATTGTCTGTTTCCTGTGTTTTTTTCATCTGGGTATTGATGGTTCTGCGTCGGAAAATCTCTCAGAGACAAAAATTCAAAAGCAAATCGTGTAGAAGCCAAATGGGTTTTGAACAAGGACAATGAGGCCAAAACAGATGCATGTGTAGCTGCAAATTGCCGCCGTTGATGGACTCAGTAAGTCCCTTTCAGCAGACAAATGCCACGTATCTTGAAGAGCTCACACCTAGTTAATTAGTTTAACTGTGTCAAGAATGTTATTTTTACAATAACAACAATACGTAATTAAGCTCATTAATTAGGTTTCAAAACCCGGAGTTTTCTACAGTACGCATTCGTAGGTTGTAGATGTTACATCGACAACAGGATCATAATTCTCTATTCTAGTATAAATTAATCGCAATTCATTAAATGTGTTCAGATTTAGTATGAAAGATGCACCCTCGAAGACTTCCCTAGTTAAACCCCATCTGGAATTTTTATGATTAAACATCTGTCAAATAGTGAATTTTTCATTGTTTGCTTTGTAAATTGTACACATGACAATGAAGCCGTACAAGAGAAGGTATAAAGTATAAAAACGAGAAGATTCTTTGAAGTCAATGAACTCCATGAGCTACCATAAATTACGTACATGGCCTAAATTTTCTACTTATATTTGGCCATTAGCTAGAGACACTAATGCCGAGAATCGCGGTCTTATTAATATGTTGCCAATCAAGTTGGAATCGAGAGGTTATCGTTTTCCATGCAAAATCTTATCTTCTTAATAAATAATTACCAAGATCTCAATACGTTTAGCTAATGTAAGAGAAAGATAACGGAGCCATGGTTAGAAGCCGCACATAGGCTTGTCACCTGTGTAAATTTCATAACCACACATCTACCTGCAACCACGTGTGCCTTCTTCCATTTTTCCTTTCTTTAAATCCAAAACAATCCAAAACAAAATGATAGATGTGAAACAAGAAAGGGAAATAAATAGCGGGATTTGATGAAGATTGAGATTTGAGGTCTTCTTCAACTATAAGACACCTAAGCTGCTAAAAATGTCATCACCCATGTGCTTCTGCTGGGCTGTGTGGACCTTTTTTTTTCCCTTTTCTTTTTCTTTATATATTTTCTCACTGTTTTTGATTTGATGGAATCGTCTGCTCTGCAGTAACCGAACCTGACCAGTTGAATATGGGCCGTGGATGAGAATTATCCAATATAAATCAAAGATGGTAATCGGTGCACTGCCTTCTGGTGTGTTTTCAAACCCGGCAGAGATGCCAACGAATGGAGAAGCACATGCAACAGGAATAGTAACAGGAATAGTAATGTTCTGTTATCCCGATTAATAATACAATGACACGTTTCAAGTAAATTTTTTCTGCATTGAATGAAGAAGGTTGAATTATTTTGATTCATGGGTCAAAATGTTCATTCAGTTTGTTTACCAGAAAAGATATGGGCATTGAATTCTCTCTTCCTGCCCCGAGTCCTTTTAAACGGCTGTATAGTTAAAGCTACTGTGAAATGTGTCTCAAGATGTGCCATGGCAAAGAAACAGAGAGAGACAGAGACAAAGCACGAGTTTTTTTTTCTCTGGCTAGGACAGCAAATGTTGTGGTTCAGAAATAAAATAAAGTCTGCAACTTTTATTTCATGGGCATTAAATTATGGTTACATTGTAATAAAGTTGGAAAATTCTGTTAGGTTAAGTATAAGGGGTCCTGGCCAGAGCAAGAAAGACCCAGTTCACCAAAAGTATTTATATTCTTTTTAAAAAGGTTGGTGTGGTGAGTTGTAAGAAAAATATATACAATAAGTTAATTAATTAACAAACCTAATAAGAAAACCGAGGAGGAGGAAAAGTAAAAGCAGAGAGAAGCAGCATAGAAAACAACAAAGAAAGAAAAGGGTAGTTGCGGCAAATGGGCAGTGGTTTGCATGTGAGTTATGGATTCTAATGGAATCGTCACCCATCAAAAAGCCAAAAAACCGCTCTGTCTCAGTAGGATTGGCCAATTTCCTACTAAGCAACCATCAAAAACCACACGGTTTCCCCTCCAAAACTGCCCTTCCACCTCAAAGGACTTGTTTTTAACTATTGTAAAACCAGTTAGCCCAGCAGTTTATGGTCCCCTACAGCCTCAATAAGAAAAAAGGAAAAAAAAGTGTAATGTCAGTGGTCATGGTGGCTAAATAGTCCCTAGCCCTTGCCCCAAAGTTGTATATAATCCCCCCCACCCCCCTCCCACATTCCTCACTCCTCTGCCTCACATTTTCTCTCCTTTGTTCAAATTTTCAAGGCTCATCATTCAACTTCATCCCAATGTACTAACCTTGTCCCTCTCTCTCACATTCCCCTTTCTTTCTAGTGTTCACACTAGAAAGAAAAAAATGTCACCTTTTTTTAATTTTTAATTTTATTTTTAAAAAGCCGAGTCTTTCTGATGTAGAAAATGCTGAATGGTTCACTGGTTTTTGTGCAGGAAAATGGCTCTTGTTTATGGGTTTTGTTTGGTGGGTCTTCTTGCAATGGTCTCCTGTGCGCATGCTTATGGTGGAGGTGGATGGGTTAACGCTCGTGCCACTTTCTATGGAGGCGGTGATGCTTCTGGGACAATGGGTATGCATCAAAACTAAAAAAGATTCATTTTTTCTGTTTCTGGAAGAGAAAAGAAACAGTCTTTCAGATCTCTGAGATGTTCTTTGAGTACCATTTTTCTCATTTGGGGATTTTTGTTTTCTATAGGTGGTGCTTGTGGGTATGGAAACCTCTACAGTCAGGGGTATGGGACAAATACTGCAGCACTGAGCACTGCTCTGTTCAACAATGGCTTGGGCTGTGGTTCTTGCTATGAGATTAAGTGTGTAAATGACCCCAAATGGTGCTTGCCTGGTGCCATTGTGGTCACAGCCACCAATTTCTGCCCACCAAACAATGCCCTTCCTAACAATGCTGGGGGCTGGTGCAATCCTCCTCAGCACCACTTTGACCTCTCTCAGCCTGTCTTCCAGCACATTGCTCAGTACAGAGCTGGTGTTGTGCCTGTTGCTTACAGAAGGTAGGCCTAGTGAAATTTCATTGCTCAAAAATCAAACCTTTATATTTTAAAAAAGATTTGTGGTTGAAGAAGTACTAATTTTTTTTCCGGGTTTTTATTTTTGTAGGGTACCTTGCGGGAGAAGGGGAGGTATCAGATTCACCATCAATGGGCACTCCTACTTCAACCTGGTCCTCATCACAAACGTTGGTGGTGCCGGTGATGTGCACTCTGTTTCAGTCAAAGGGTCCAGGACTGGTTGGCAAGCAATGTCTAGAAATTGGGGCCAGAACTGGCAAAGCAACTCCTACCTCAATGGCCAAAGCCTCTCTTTCAAGGTCACTACCAGTGATGGCCGCACAGTGGTGTCCTACAATGCTGCCCCAGCTGGGTGGTCCTTCGGGCAGACCTACAGTGGTGCCCAATTCCGCTAGGGCCCCTGCCCTCTTTATATTTAGCCATTTCCTAGGGTGATTTTTACATATATATACCAAGTATCAAGAAGATTAGTATGACTCTTAGTATACTAGGATATTAGTTAGTATACTATAGTAGTTATTGGGTCTGTTCTGTCAGTCGTTGGCCTCTATGTTATGGTCAAAGTCTGAGGAGGGCTAGTTTATTTTAAAATGGCTCTTCATCTTTGGGACTCTAAATTTTATCAGCGTGGGGAGTAGGGTACCCTTCTATCTTTGGGACCCTAAATCCTTTCTTGGGTCTTGTTTTTATTTATATTTTTACTTCTGCTGCAATTGTAAAAGCTGAAGTTGGCAGAGGTGGTGGACTTTGACCACCCGCCATTAGTGTTTGAAATAGTAAAAGCATTTTCTGCTTGTTTTGTAAGGCCATTGTTGCTGTAATCAGCTGATGCTTCCTTCCTGCTGATTGGTTGTTATATTTCAAAGTTTGTTGAAGACTAATGTAAATTTCCATTTTCCACTAGTAATGGATTGCTAATTTATTATTTCTTGCTTCTTGTTTCACCTTTAATAAATAATAAATTATCTTGGTCATCTATTTGAGTTTTACCCTGCTTCACCTTAATTGTTATTTGAACAAGTAAAAGTTATGTCTTGGTCCGAGTGGGGATAGCATTTCTCTTCTGCATGTCCATGGAGTTTTGAAAAATATGTCTTATCCTCAGGAGGACAATTGGCTAAAAAAAAGCCTCAAGGGCTGTTGGCTTAAAAAAAGCCTTGGGCTGTTGGCTAAAAAAAACCTCAAGGGCGAATGAAAGGAAAGAGGGCCAAGGCTTACCATTGGGGCACTTTAGGGTACAGGCCCCATTTAAAAACCCAATCTCTTCCTTGCAGCCCAGATAAAAACAAGCTGCTTATACTTCTCTTCCACTTCTCTATCTAAACATGGGCAAGTTGCAGTAATTACATACTTAATAAACTTTACAATGAGTTTGTAGTTTAAGTGGTTAAGAACAGTTTTCAGTTTTGGAATCCTAACTCTCCCAATATCGCTTGTATAATTTTTTTTATTTTTTAAAAAAACCTTTACAGTAAGCCAATTCATAATCCATCAATAACCATAGCAAGTGTGCCAATTCACAAATTCATAATTAGTCAAGGTTAGTGATAAGTTTTTCCTAGGTTGGGTTTGACGCTATAAAAAGTTATAACCCATTTTCGATATGAGGGCCGGAATTGAATTTGATGTGTCTCAAAATTTTTTACTTCACGTGTGAAAAAGGGCTGTTGGCTTAATCAATTTGGAAAGAACGATAATTAATCAAATCAAGGGTCAATTTAGGAATATTATCTGGTATAATATGCTCAGCCAAGATAGGGCCCAAAAAAATATTCTCATGTCCTTCCTCCCGTAAATTGGCGTTTTAACAGATGGTGACAGGCAAACAACTTTTTGTTACTACCTACTTTACAAGACTAACTTAATACTGTAAATCTATGAACAGAATATTTTTGAGCGGTGGAAGTGAATAATTGGTTGGTGGTACAATGTTATATGGGTTGGATTCAAAAATCTGTAAAGACATTTCATTTCAATCTTTCAATGTCTCGTAGCTTTTCATGTCTCTGTCAAACATAATTGCCTCAAGATTCATACCGGTTAACAACAAAAAGAAATTACCAGAGAATCTATGCACGAAGGATCGCATACACCAACCCTTTTTTTCTTTTTCTTTTTTATGTGGCGATTCAAGTAACAGAGTTCATCTGCATTCGTTTAAAAAAAGAAATAAAATAAAAATAAAAATCAACAAATGTCATACTGTGCATACAGTTGCTCTGTGGTTCCAATTCATGTTTTGCTGGAACCTTCTGAATCACTTGGCATCTCATTAGCAATTGTCCACCCACAGTTTGCAGTGTGTAAAGACAGCAACATGGAATTGTTGACAAATTTTTCCAATATGTTTATGCTTTTATACTATATTGTTGTATGTACTTTTATTTACAGCTCAGTTTACTGAGAGGGAGCAAGGGAAGGCAGTATCCTAAACTGCCACTAGCAACCTTGACGGTCAAGAATTGGGGGGAGGAGGGCAAAAAGAAACTCAACAGAACCTATATCATATATAATAACCACACAGAAGATCTCTCATTAGATTTTGGTGCTTCATTGTTGGGCGTCAGCACCATCGTTCCTTCTGGCAAGGGACTAATGACAAGGCCGTTATGTGTTGAACCCGTGCTGTACACTCAGTGGTTGCCTTCTATATTTCCACGGCAAAAATTATGATTGCGAAAACCTTGATGGATGAGTAAACTTCTCAAGCACTCAAACAGATTTCTCCAGCAACTCCCCATCAGCGGATGAACGACAAAATCACTCAACCTCAGTTTGACTGCTGGCATCAAGCAGCAAAGTTAGACAACACTAGAAGTTCAGCTAAAGGAAAAACAACACACGCTATCATTTTTGTAGACACTCTCGCTCTTATCCTAATTTACACATTTCCAGGAATTAGAAATTCAATTAAAAGGGCGCAAATAATAGGCTAGGCAAACAAGTAACAAGTAAGAAAGATTTATTGAGAAAATCCAGAATAGGGGAAGGGAAAACGGACCTGGGAATATAAATGCTCGTCAAACATGGTAACAGCACAAGGACCAGATGTAGAGGCCCAACTATGCTGAGTAGGGTAAAACTCGGGTCTAGGAGCTTCAAAGCTTCCATTAACATGATACTCCACAGGGTTTTCTTGAGGACTCATTTCTGCTGGTGGCTGGAATTTCGTGTCAGTCAGCATATTGAGATTGTACGGCAGGTAAGGAAATTGCCCACCCAGCTGTAGCCTCAGCGGTGCAGTTCTACTTAAGTCATTAAGAATACCATTTTCTTGCCCAGAAGTAGAAATCTCTGAACTTTTTCCTGTACCAAGGTAACCAGAATAACTCCCAAAGGAGGAACTTGCAGAGCATTCCATATCCCTAGGAAAAGACATTCTCCACTGAGTTACACTTGTGAGATAATGGCAATCAATCCTTAGAGAAATTCATTATTTTTTTTATATTAACAAAAGTTTACTAGATAAAGAAGCCATTTGATGTTCCATTTATGAAGAACTTCATCTGATAAGGAAGGAATCAGTCCAAATAAGATAGCTAGGAGAGCTAGTATGTACTTCTCAACAAACAGTTACCTATGGGGAAGCAAGTTTGGGTCCTCCGGTAAAACCATATGCCGGCTTTCATTAGTCGGAATCCATGACAAAGGCTGCAGCTGTTGCTCAGCACTCATGCTGAAAGGTATATGCAACCCATTTTGGAACTGCAAGATGAGAATCATTAAGCTTCTATGTCTGCCCGTATTAATAAGTAAATAAAATATCAGGAAAGTTTCACAACCAGAAACAGTTATTTACCTGACTAGTGCACTCTAACGACATAAGCTGCTGCTTTTGTAGGTTTTCCTGCCAACAGAAAAATGGATAGCATTAGTATCACAAGGTCTAGAACAAATTGGAAGTGATGGTAGCCTACAAAGAAAGAGGATACAATTGGAGATTATACATTCCTTTTTGTACAGTGGTAATAATTTTTTTATTATTCTGTGTATTGCAGTAGTTGCCAACACTTTTTTCGCTCAAACTCCAGTGGACTCGTACACACTTAACTATTCTCTAGGGGTGGCACTTTAACTTTTTGAGGTCCTTTCACATAAATTTCCAGAAAAACAGAGTGATCAAATTATAAATACATAGAAATGAAAGAAAGGCACCACAACCCAGGCCACAAGAAAAGAAAGGAGAGAAATACTAAGGGTCACATCTACAATTTCTTGAGACACATATCCTAGAGTTCAAATTTCAGTGGCATATAGTACTGGAGAGCTAGGCTATTTACAAAAGCTAGAGAAGCTAAAACCTTGGAGCCAGACGATGACAAAATTGCCCACTGGCAACCTTAGCAAGCAACACAATCCTCACATTGGGCAGGGCATACACTAAACTTCCTCATATGTGACCTACTGGAAGAAGGGATACCTTATGTGTCCGAATCTGGTTAAGCGATTCTCTTACTGAATCTTCCATTTGCCCCAATTGTTCTACACTGGTGATCTTATCAGGGCTAGACCAACAGCTGCAGAATTCAAGATTGGTGTAAAATTAGTATAGTGTGGTCAATAACCATAGTAAATTTTCACTACAACGTAAATGAATGAAACCAGAAAACTCTCCAACCCAAATTTTCAGGCATTCACCTTAGTCTCTTTTTTATTTCGGAAAGTTGGGTTTGCAATAACCTAGACTGGTTAGTCAGATCCTGTCCAAAAAAAGGAAAGAAAAGGGAGGGGAATATAAAAAACATGCTGCAGCAACAAATAGTAGTGACCAAGAGACTTGAATGGTGAAAAATCACACTGGAAACATGAATTTGCATGCTTACCTCGATTGTTTGAGAACTGAAACAAAAAGAAACGAAAAACACATTTAGTGAAATTTCAAAAAATTTACGAATTTTTTTTAAGCCAGTATGTAAGCAAACATACCTTGTACCCAAAAACTCTTGTATATTCACGTCATGATCCAACTTCTTGAATGTTTTCTTCAGTGCCTAAACTCTCAACGAGAAAACAAAAAATATGTAAGAGATAGAAGTGACAATGATACAGATGTTATATTCAAACAGAAAAAAGGGTAATTATGATAACATCATTTAATCAAAAGTTAGGTATCAAAAGGGACTTACTTCGAGGCTTTCCAGTTTCCTGTTAGAATCCAATAAAAAGAAATTTAGAGAGGGTTCTATTTAAACTGTATTCAGATACATGACTGATTCTTTGAGTGAAGAAAGTTACCTTTTGGCTCTTTCCTGTGGAGTTAGTTGAGCAAACTTTGCTATAACCTCTTCAATGCTACTAAACTCAACCAAAAAAAAACACAGAGAAAAGGGAAAGTTACTGATGACAATGATATTCCCAATCAGAAGTTATACTCTTACAGCCATCACGCGCACAAAACAAAACTGCATGGACACATGATATTCAATAATGCCAGTGCATCATCGTCATGTACTTACTAATCTTGGTTTCAGACTAAAACATTGAGGCTTGTTTAAAACTAAAGAAAAAATAAAAAAAGTTATGGTATGCCATATTATCTACTCTGCTTTTCTCATAAGAGAGGCCAAATTAACATACATACACAAATGTATACGTGTATATATCAGTACCAACAAGTGCATGATACACAATGAAACATATTGAACCAATGCTTGAACCTCTCTCATGCATCTATAGAATTCTACATGCATAGGTCTTTAATCTTCCTTCTTCTTAGTTGTTAGGTTTACATTGTCTCCTAAATGAAGATAATTTGGTTATTAACCTAGATAGTTGCCTCACATATTAGACATTTAATAACTGAATTCCCCCAATCAATTGCTTTGATCAACTAAGGCTTAAATTTCTTGAAGAACCTGACTAGTTTTCACAAGCAAACATGAAAACCTTGTGTGATTCTTTATATCCTCTGGCCAGGCAATATAATTCTTTAATTTTTCAATAGTAGAAGGAACATACCTGCGTTTTCCACTGCATAAAGAAGGCTTTCCGGTTGGTGAAAACATGAGAAGAACAATATCTATGTCACAGAGTATAGATAATTCATTAGCCTTTTTCATGATGCCATGCTTCCTTTTAGCATAAGTTGCTTGACGCCCATTTGTATTCTCCAACCTCTTTATCTTTAGCTTTACCCTTCCCATCCTGCACCTTCGGCCCCAATTTCACTCTTGAATCCCCCTCTTTGACAGTCCCAAAGATTGAAAAGCCTACCAAAAAAATCATACATGTTTCCATGACAATCTATCCACCACAGTTCAATATCCTAACTCACACAATTCAGCAAGCATTTAAAGCATTAGCAGGATATGAATATGAAGCATCAACATGCTACCACAAGTTCGCAAATTCAACAAATTGGATTAAAAAAAAAAGCTTTTTCCTATTTTACATAACGCAATGACCAAATTCATTCATTCTTACAGAAACAGGGGTGATTAAAATCGTATAACCCAGATAACAAAATCAAATTTAACAAGAACCCATTTGAGAATTGAAGCTATATAAAGGGTAACCAGTAACCTAACCGAGAAAAAAAAAGGAAATTTGAGCGTAAACAACGAAAAAACAAATAGTAAAGGCCAAAAGGATATCATCATATAGCATAAAATTTGAAAGACAAAAAAGGGAAACTTACCCAGAAGAGGAAATGAAACAGAGAGTTTAGAAAAACATAATCGAAACGTCTGAAATGTTCGGACAGAGAGAGAGAGAGGGAGAGGGAGAGAGAGAGAGAGAGAGAGAGAGAGAGATTGGCCAGCCAGCCAATAGGAGATTCAAAAGGCACAGAGACGGAGAGAGAAAAAGAGAAGGATGTGTGTGAGCTTACAAATAGCTTTACATAACACGACCGGGTGACCGGAAAAATCGGTAAACGAAATTAGCGGGAGAACCGGAAACGTCAGAAATTCCCAAACCAACCAAACAAAACAATTCTTTTAATTTGTATCCTTCGCCCTCCCCCTCCTTGGTCCCTTCCCTAACCCACGTTTCAGTTCGTCCATGATTTTGATGATTCACATTCACCATCACCACCAACACCAACCTCAACCTCTGAGGTTTCGGTTCTCTTAAATGTTGCTGGGTGGCGGTTAGTCGGTGGGTTTTGGAACTTAAATTTTGTGAAATTCCCTTTTTGTCCCACTTCCCACGTATGTTTTGATTAAGAAGATGATGTCTTTTTGGTCATTTTAGGAAACAACTAATGGTGGGAAAATGCATTCTTGTTTGTGTTTACTATTCGGTCTATGCACACGGTTCGAATTCCCCTACTCGAATTCACTACATACACTCACTGTTTAAAATGTCATCCGAGCGTATTTGAATTGGATTCACACATTCACCGTTTAAAACATCATCAAAGATTCGAAGGGCATTTGGATTACTTTTTAAAATATCATCCAAACGTATTTAAATTCATACCTTCACTGTTTAAAACATTATCAAAGCACATTTAACTAAATTAAAATTTAATATTTACATTTCACATGCACTTTAATGAAACAAAAATATTAAAAATAAATAAGTATTTGATGTAAGAGGTATTGTGATTACGTAGTGTACTGGATCCTGAGCCTCTACATTTAGCTATCGTGCATTTACTTGTATTTCGCTATATTCAAGTCATCCTAAAATCTAACTACTTAAAACATGCCATATCATCAAGTTCGAGTTTTTTTATATTTTAAAACTCATGTTTTATGCCTTCAGTTTTGAGCGTCTTGCCTTGTTTGAGTGTATTTCTTCTCCGGTTGTTCATCGTACAACTTTCTCCTTTCTTTATAATTCAGTGAATTAATATTGCCCATTATTGGGAGAGTTTCAATTCCAACCAGGCAAAACTAGTTTTTTCTATTCTTCTTTTCTTTTTTTCTTTGCACGGAATTTTTTCCTTCCTCTTTTGATTGAAAGACATCAGCACAAGGTTTTGCTTATTAGGCCATTTCCAGCAGTTGGAATCTTGCCATGGCAAGGGGGGGGCTAGGGGGACACTATTCACAGGAATAGTGTCTGCCCTTGCAAAAAGTAAGTTCCACTTCCAGCAGTTGCCATGGCAAGGGGGGGTACTATTCAATTTTTTGTTTTTTTCACAAATTTGTTTACCTAAATAATTAATTTGGACAATATATTCGGATGAGATTTTCTGATAAAATATTCGGATAAGATTTTCAGATAAATTTTTTTTTCAAATTTCAGATAATTTTTTTTTCAAATTTCAGATAAATTTTTTTTTAAATTTCATATTTTCAAATTTAATGCTTTGGTTGTGGTTAGTTTTTTTTATAAATTGAATTTTTTGAATAAAAAGGAATTTTATTTAATAGTTTCTTTGGTAACTCAAAGAAAACTAATACTACTAATACAATAAAATACATGACTTCCAACTAATTTTTAAAACAAATCATTAAAATACAATGAAATGAAAAGGCAATCAAACTAACTTAAGGGTTTTCATCATTTAACCAATCCGTATTGCTAGGTCCATCATCACGAAAAAGTTTTCGTCTCATAATAGCCTTTCGTTCTAGCTTCCAATATTGTTTTGTTTCAGGAGACATGTGGCTTGTATCCATGGCCATGGTTTCCCGATCCTTCCTTTCTTCATTTTCTTTGCGTCGATACTCCCTTTCTTTGCGTACATACTCCCTTTCTTTAGCAAATTCTATTGCCATTGCCCTATCATCTTCTTGGACTTTCTTGTCTATTTCAATTCTCAAGGCGCTTTGCCTTGCAATTTCCTCTAAAAATTTAGAGGTATTACTCGTAGAATTAACTCCTCTCTTTGCCTTTGCCGCCTTCCTCCCCATAGGCCTCGGCTCCTTTTGAATGGGTAAGTCTTCACTCATAGGGGATTCCATAGGCGAATCCGAAGCTTGTGAATCATGAAGTGGCGTCTCGTTTAACACCACCGTTGGAGCCGTTGGAATAATGCTAAATCTTTTACAATGCTTCACCACCTCCCAACATTGGGTATGGGTGAAACTTTTTTTCCCTACTCCAGTAGCACCATAGAACATTTGAGCTTGCACAATCTATATAAAAAAAAATTGAATAAGCAAGGAACTTAAAAAAAAATGGTAATGCAAAAAAGATAAACATATGAATGAAAATCCAAGAAATATTAACAACATATAAAGAATGCAAGAAACATTCAAATAAATATTAGAAATACAAGAAATATAAAAAAAATATATAAAAATTGCAAGAAACATTCAAATAAATATGGAAAGACAAGAAATATTAAAAACATATAGAGAATGCGACAACCATTTATATAAATATTAGAAATACAAGAAATATAAACAAAATATAAAGAATGCAAGAAACATTTAAATACATATGGAAATACAAGAAATATTAACAAAATATACCAATTGCAAGAAACATTAAAATTAAAATTAATAGGACATTAAAATTAATAAAATGAAAATTACAAGTAATTACCTCATCGCTTAGATTTTCCCCGCTTGCATGGTTATTCATCGCTTTTGTGAGGGCATCTCTCCATTTCCCCAACTCTTTGTTGAGAAGTTTCCACCGACTTGACAATGCGCTTTCCGTACGGGTGGAACCCGATCTTTCAACAAATGCGTGAAGAATTTTTTTCCACATTTGACTGAATTTCATCTCATTACCCGATATGGGATCATGACTAATTTGGATCCAACACTCACACAACAAGACATCTTCCATGACGCTCCATGCCCCTCCGGTTTCTTGAGAAAAAGCCATAATGATAGAGAAAAATTATACTTAAAAATGAAAACAATTTAGAGTAAAAAGTGAAGAAAATATTAAATAGAAAGTGAAAAATAGTTGGAGAAGGAGAAGATGTATGAGAATTTGTTGTTAAAACTGAAGAGTAGGTGTTGGTATTTATAGAAAAAAAGTCAGTATTTTTTGGGATTTTTTAAAAATTTTTACGATTTTTTTTCATCATTTTTTGCCTGGAAAAATTCCAGGCCGTCGGATTGGCTGACAAGGCGAAATCGGAAGGACGAGAGGCTGCCACGTCGCACGTTACCGTTGGGCGCAAAAGCTGACGCGATTTTGAATTTTTTTTAACGTTGGCGCGTGCATTGCACGCGCCAACGGTAAAAAAATTTTACAACCGCGTGCTGACGTCACGCTGGCATAAGCGATGACGTCAGCTCGCACTCGGGCTCTCGCTCGGGCTGCCTTCGCCTTGGGGCTAGCCCAGGCAAGTGGACCCCACACTGCCCGGGCCAGCCTTTGTTGCTGGAACTTGGATTTGGGCTCTCCCCCCCCCCCCAGCCCGAGGGGGCTGCTGGAAATGGCCTTAGTGGAGGAAAAAGAAGGTAGCTATTGAAATTCAAACTCAAGGAATCATATAAACTTCCATTGACATCACTCTTTCTTCCTAAAAGGCGAAGGAAAAAAAAATGTGAACTGGAAGAAAAAAAAAAACTAATTTTACTTTATTTGTTTGGAACTGAATTTTTTTGCAAACATCGGAGTTTCCATTACATCACAAAGCAGAAACTCAACCCAGGTGAAGACGCTCAAGGCGAAGGCAAAAAAAAAAAAAAAAAAAAAAAAAAAAAAAAAAAAAAAAAAAAATTAAGCGCATTAACGTTACGTTCAATTTAGATATAAAAAAATCGAAGCTTGATGATGTGGCATCTCTTAAGCAGTTAAATTATTAAAACATTCACAATGGGCTCCTTAAACCACCTCCTTAGACAAATTTTAGAGAGGAATTGTAAAAATGCAACTCCAACCATACTCCCTATCTACCTCCTAAAATAGAGAGTCCTCTAGGAGTTCCTAAATATGAGGAGAGAGAAAACATTCTTAGTGGTTCCATATAATTTAATGCTGCTTTATTTAATGAGTATTTCAAACATATATTTAATGCTAACTATTTTTTATTTTATTTTATAATAGAGATGAACTAATCAAAAAAGAGTTATAGCATTTATGACTCTCCAAATTATGGAGTATGATTGAAGTTGAAATTTTTTAGAGAGCTTCTAAAATAGCTTTCTTAGAGCATCTCCAACCGGTGTGTCAAACATGCCACATTGACATTTAACAACTAGAAATAACATCTCACATCACTCCAACTGATATGTCAAAGCTGATGTGGAATGAAGGCTGGAGGTTGAAATGTTATTTTTGA